CAGACAGTGGCTGAGCCGGTTGGTCACTAGTCTTCTTTAGCCTTCTTTAGCTCTGGTCCAGGTCACATTATTTTCTTTCCCTCTTGGATCTAACAGCTGATAAGTGTCAATGTCTGGGTTTTATTGGAATCTAAAAAATGACGGGTGTTACTGGAATAAGGTCATCCATCGCCTGCTGGATTTTAGTATTTCGTTTTTAATATTTGAGAAACATGAATTTAAGTTTCATTTAAACGTTTTGAGGGTCTTCAAATACGATCCCTCGTTGAGGATTTATCTTGCAAAGTTTCACTTTTGAACTTTGCAAGGAACTTCAGGACTCGTGGATTGGGACCAGCACTACCAGAGAAGCTGGGATGTTCTTTGCATCCCAGAGTGAGGATCTCCGGTACCGGGCCAGTCCAATTATGGTCAGGCCAGGCTAGGTGTAGTGAGGGTCATCCCCCAGGACTGGTAATCCCTCCCTGGGCAGCATGCTGCTGGTGGACAGGCTGGGCATGGGGCTGGGGCCCTGGGCTTGGCTGGACAAGGGGGGCTGGTGCAGGGCCTGCCAGGAGTGTGAGCGCCGCTACCTGACGCTGGAAGAACCAGACGGTGTGTTGAGTTCCACAGATGGGGGAAGAGGGCAGTGTGTAACCTATAAGAAGTCCAGTTTCTTGTATGCAGTTATTTTGCTTCTCAAAAAGTTGGGTTATTGGTGGTATGTTATTGTATAACGGCTGCTCTTTGAAGTTGACGCCATCAATGGGGTTGTTGTACATTTGGCCCATGTTGTATAGCTGTATTGGGTGAATATTAGATCTAAAGATTTGAGAGGGGGTGTTTGTGTCCACAGAGAGGGTGAATCTGCTTATGGGATAGGCCTATATTGGTGATGGATGCCTATGGGGTTACATTGGCGATGTTCCTTCACACCCCTTCTCCTTGGCCCTGGTTGAGATGAGAGATGGGCGCAGCCTGGGATGCTGGAAGGAACTAGGGCAGTGGCTTTTAAATTTAGCTCCACAAGCCCCAAGGCTGCAGGCAGAGAGCAGCTTTGCACTCTGAGCTGTTTTGGGCTCGGCGGGCCAGGGTTGGGCGGAGTTGGAGATGCTGCTCTAATCAGCAGTTAACAACTTTCACACTTTTCTTTTCAAAAAACGGGCCATGTCAGAAAGAGAGACGGAGGGAGGGAGGGAGGGAGGGAGAGCGAGAGAGACGTCCTCTTTCCTAGCAGTTGTGTTGTTGTAGTGCCATAAGAGGGTTACATTGGGACTCTTCTTAATGCTGCAGTGGTCTACTTGCTGATGATACATAACTGGAGTATCTCAGGAAGCTGAATTATTATTTAAAACAAATTTGTTGCAACGTAATCAGAAGTTTAGGTACATTTTATCCATTATGATCATGAGGAAGATCATGGTGATGATAATGGTGAGATGGAGGAACATGATGATGATGACAGTGATGAAGTGCTACTTAACATATATTTGTCCATCATGTAATACCTAAGCTTGTGTTGTGTGGTTGCAGACGAGCTGGCTAGCCCTAGTGTTGACCATGAGGCCACGTCCATTCCTGCTTCCGCCCTGATATCTGCCGCTCCAGCCATAACTACAGTCCCCCCTAGCCCAAGCTCCTCCCCGTGCCCTCTCATGCGCCGACAGCTATCACATGACCAAGGTAAGAGGCACTCTGGGGGCGGGGCTCCTGGTTGTCATGGTTAAGGTGAAGATACAGCACTGTCAGTTGCTGTGTTGTCAATGCCATTGTTGTCTGTTTCAGTCATTGGTGGCATCTGAAACATGGCACTCTATTCTGTATGCAATGCACTACTGTTGACCAGATCCCCAATCCCCATAGGCCCTGGTCAAAAGTAGTGCACTATATATAGAGAATACTACAGTGCCATCTCAGCCGCCTTCATTGCGTTGTTACTGTCTTGATGTTTCTGGCACATAATAGCTGTGGCACATAATAGATGTGATAGAACTCAGTGCTGGAGTTTTCTGATGAAGCATGACATTGACCCAGTTCTTTATACAGGCTTGAAAGCAGCAATGATGTCTCCTCCATCAGTGCTAAATCACTTCAGAATAAAATTGGCAACGTGTCATTGTTTAAATAACCCACTTTGGGCTGTGCATTTGATATTAACACAATTCTCTCCTGTGATATTGAGCCCTAAAGCTACCTCAGAGAGCACCACCACTGACCCTCACCAATAACATTCAGCTATGACACATCACTCTGTTTACACACTGTCCTTGTGTTTATGTTCCGGTCTCAAGAGTCTCTCAGAAATGCTATTCTGGAGTCTGATGCCGAGGCCAAACAAGAGAGGTCCAAATCCTGCGACGAGGGCCTGGATAACTACAGAGAGGAAGGCAGAGGGTGAGTCCCTTTTTACATTTGGAGATGTGGGATTTGGTTTTATTTTCATGATACTGATTTCCAATCGTTTTTTGTTCATCCTCCTAATATTCGTTTTTTGTCTCCCTTCTCCTCTCTGTCTCCAGCCGATCAAACAGCAAACACATGCCCAGTCTGAGAGGCCTGAGAAAGGTGAGGAAACTGCTCGATACAGGGTTTATTAACCACAACATGTTGACTTTGTTTATAACAACTATAAAGGATTATAACAGCTCTATAATGGTTTAACTAAGCCATGTTGGCTGTGTTTATACAGCCAGTATACCGGCTATTAAACATACAGTACCAGTCAAAAGTTTGGACACACCTTCTCATTCAAGGGTTTTTCTTTATTTTTACTATTTTCTACATTGTAGAATAATAGTAAAGACATCAAAACTATGAAATAACACATATTAAATCAAAATATATTTTAGATTCTTCAAAGTAGCCACCCTTTGCCTTGATGACAGCTTTGCACGCTCTTGGCATTCTCTCAATCAGCTTCATGAGGAATGATTTTCCAATAGTCTTGAAGGAGTTCCCACATATGCAGAGCATTTGTTGGCTGCTTTTCCTTCACTCTGCGGTCCAACTCATCCCAAACCATCTCTATTGGGTTGAGGTCGGGTGATTGTGGAGGCCAGGTCATCTGATAAAGCACTCCATCACTCTCCTTCTTGGTCAAATAGCCCTTACACCGCCTGGAGGTGTGTTGGGTCATTGTCCTGTTGAAAAACAAATGATAGTCCCACTAAGTGCAAACCAGATGGTATGGCATATCACTGCAGAATGCTGTGGTAGCCATGCTGGTTAAGTGTGCCTTGAATAAAAAAAAAAAAGCACAGACAGTGTCACCAGCAAAGCACCCCCATACCTTCACACCTCCTCCATGCTTCACGGTGGGAACCACACATGTGGAGATCATCCGTTCACCTACTCTGCGTCTCACAAAGACACAGCGGTTGGAACCAAAAATCTCTCATTTGGACTCATCAGACCAAAGGACAGATTTCCACCGGTCTAATGTCCATTGCTTGTGTTTCTTGGCCCAAACAAGTCTCTTCTTCTTATTGGTGTCCTTTAGTAGTGGTGTCTTTGCAGCAATTCGACCATGAAGGCTTGATTCACGCAGTCTCCTCTGAACAGTTGATGTTGAGATGTCTCTGTTACTTGAACTCTGAAACATTTATTTGGGCTGCAATCTGAGGTGCAGTTAACTCTAATTAACTTATCCTCTGTAGCAGAGGTAACTCTGGGTCTTCCTTTTCTGTGGTGGTCCTCATGAGAGCCAGTTTCATCATAGAGCTTGATGGTTTTTGCTACTGCACTTGAAGAAACTTTCAAAGTTCTTGACATTTTCCGGATTGACTGACCTTCATGTCTTAAAGTAATGATGGACTGTCGTTTCTCTTTGCTTATTTGAGCTGTTCTTGCAATAATATGGACTTGGTATTTTACCAAATAGGTCTATCTTCTGTATACCACCCCTACCTTGTCACAATACAACTGATTGGCTCAAACTCATTAAGAAGGAAGTAAATTCCACAAATTAACTTTTAACAAGGCACACCTGTTAATTGAAATGCATTCCAGGTGACTACCTCATGAAGCTGGTTGAGAGAATGCCAAGAGTGTGCAAAGCTGTCATCAAGGCAAAGGGTGGCTACTTTGAAGAATCTCAAATATAAAATATATTTTGATTTGTTTAACACTTTTTTGGTTACTATATGATTCCATATGTGTTATTTCATAGGTTTGATGTCTTCACTATTATTCTACAATGTAGAAAATAGTAAAAATAAAGAAAAACTCTTGAATGAGTAGGTGTTCAAACTTTTGACTGGTACTGTATGTGGGCAAGAAGCCGGTAATATCTATCCCTAATCATAGTGCCTAACGGTGGGACAAGCTGCTACTTTTATGCAACTGGTTGTTTGAAAACAATCTTTGGACTTTCCCTGTGCTTTTGAAAGGTTTCCTAATCACATTGACAGGATGTGTTGTATGGTTTCCTGGCTTTGCCTGACTCATCTTGATTTCAACACCCATAATGAACTCACCTGTCATTGTGATTTTGCTACAGTAGTCAGACAGGCTTTGATGCTCCTGAGATACCAGTTTAAAGGGACTCCCTGGGGGTTTTAGCTATTTTCTTTAAGAGCACAGGCTCTCTCTTCCTACTGATTACTCATATTCGTGTGTGTGTGTGTAGGCTCTGGATGGATACAAGTCATCTGATGACTCTGGGTCCAGAAGGGACTCCTCTTCAGATATATTCAGTGACTCTTCTAAAGAAGGCTGGCTCAACTTCAGGCAGATCAACACTGAGAAGAGCAAGGTATATTTTCACACTTATACCCTTGTCCTACTGCCAAATCATGTGGGGCTCTACTGTGCTGGTCTGGTTACGTATCCACCATAGTTGCTGGAAAGGACAATGTGAAATAAAAATATCCACAATCGTGTGAAAAGGTTATCACGCACACCCACCCACTGTGCAAACTCTTTTGATCTTCATGCAGGGCCTTAACTCAACATTTCTCTCTCTCCCTCATCTCTTTCTTTCCATCTGTCTCTAGCGTGGGGGTTTGAGGTCGTGGAAGCAGATGTACGCCGTGCTGCGAGGCCACGGCCTCACGCTTTACAAGGACAAGAGGGACGGCGTCTCCCACGCCTCCTCCCAGTCCGACGATGACCCACAGCCAATCAGTATCAAGGCCTGCCTGATTGACATATCCTACAGCGACACGAAACGGAAGAACGTGCTGCGTCTGACCACGTCAGACTGCGAGTATCTGTTCCAGGCTGAGGGCAGGGATGACATGCTGTCATGGATCAGAGTCATCCAGGAGAATAGTAATCTGGATGATGAGGTGGGTTCTGCCTGGCAACACTGCATTACTGTGTTACTAAGGTCATCATATGATTATAAGCATTTTGCTGCACTACGATAACACCTGCAAAACTGTGTACGCGACCAATAAACGTTGATTTGATTTTGATTTTAATAGGTCTATCCCACATTTGATCATTCTTTGCTAAGCCCATGTTTTTATCCAAAGGGACTCGCATACAGTAGCTAGAATTTTACTACCCACATTTTTGGCAGGCCCTGCCTTAACTGCAAGGCAGATGTGTCAAATGCCAGTATGCTATTTTGCAGCCATCACTTGTGAATAGCCTAGCCTGCATCGGGGCTTAGGCTACAAATCTTCTATTTCATTTACATTAGTCATTCTCACTGTCCTTGGTCACTAGTAGAAGCAATAGCTTTTGGGTGAGAGACACGGCTCCCTTTTGTTAACATTTACATTTTAGTCATTTAGCAGACGCTCTTATCCAGAGCGACTTACAGTTAGTGATTACATATTTTTTTAATACTGGCCCCCCGTGGGAATCGAACCCACAACCCTGGCGTTGCAAACGCCATGCTCTATCAACTGAGCTACATCCCTGCCGCCCATTCCCTCCCCTACCCTAGACGACGCTGGGCCAATTGTGCGCCGCCCATGAGTCTCCCGGTCGCGGCCGGCTGCGACAGAGCCTGGATTCGAACCAGGATCTCTAGTGGCACAGTTAGCACTGCGATGCAGTGCCTTAGACCACTGCACCACTCAGGAGTTCAACCATACCTCTCCTTGGGTTTATGGCAATGAAGTTTGTCCCGGTTGCCTTGGTGTTTACCCCACAAATAAGACTGTCTCAGTGTCCTGTTTTGTGCGTACAATCACTACTAGAGTCTATTTATTACATCAAACCATTTAAACATTTGAGTCCTTATGCTTACTGTATGTAGGATCACTAGGATACAGAAAATACATAAACATCCCCTGCTGGACCCTAACAAGAATGTGTTTTTTCTTGGCTTTATGTTAACTTGTCTGTTGGTTGTGAAATGAGCTAACAGTGTACTTGTTTGTTCAGCTGTTTGCCCCTTTTCAGTTAGCCTTCGGTCTTTGTCTGTGGTCTCAGTCTCCCACAGAGTCTTTCATTACTGGGGAGAACCCATGACTTCCTAAATAGCTCAAACAGGATTCAGTGTGGTTAACTGCTAAATCCTATTCACTTAGAACTATCTGAAAAAAACTTAAGATATTTGATAAGACAAGATATACTTGAGAAATCTGAATGTGTTGGTAGTTCAAAGGTATGTGAACTAAAGATGTATTACATACTGCTCAGCCATTTAAAAAAGTTTGGGTTAACATCCATCATGATTTTTCATTTCCAAAATCGTTAATTCCATTTGTACTTAGCTTGTGTTCCAGTTATGTTAAAACGGATAGTTTGTTGTCCATGTTGTGTTTCAGAATGCTGGTGTAACCAGCCAGGACCTGATCAGCAGAAAGATCAGAGAGTACAACACCATGATGAGGTATGCAGCAACACACACACACACGCCCTCTTTATTTGACCCACAATGCAACATCATTTTACACCCACTTCTATGCACAAGTCCTTAAAGTCACATATAGTATAATTTAATGTACTATAATATTACATTTTTTGTGTGTATATCTGTGTTTGATCCAGTGCCCCCAGCAGCAAGACTGAGCCTTCCCCCAAAACCTCCCGGCAGTCCCTCAGTATCAGACACACCCTCCTGGGGGGGAAGGGAGAGGGCAAGAGCCAGAGCCCCCACTCACCCAAAACAGGAGAGAGAGGTAAGGCCACTATTACAACAACAAAGAAGTTACTGCAAACAATGAACACAGTTCCCCCCCTCCCAGACATCACTGCACAAATATGTACTGCCATTTTTTTTACCCAGCTGCTCACCTCCGTTTGCACACTCCTTACCTCCGTTTAGTAAACAATAACAAATGCGCCTGGGGCGACCAGTGATGCTGTTTCACCTTTCACCGATCTCAGCTTTAAAGCAAGGGATTACATTCAGCACAGGTAGACATGCTGTGTCCTTTACATGCAGCTGAAAAGGAGGACATAATGGTGAGGTTTGAAGCTATACTACACAGTAAAGTTGCACATTACACGAGAACGGGAGACAATAAATATGGTAGGATTACATGTGGAAATACAGTATGTTATTGAAACCGTGTGTCTTTTACTGTATGCACAAGCAGCAGTTGACCTTCCAGTAGCTAGTGTGGTTTGAGTGTGGATTACCTCTCAGATGGCTGCTTTGTGTGTGTTCTGTCAGATGAATCCAGTCCTCCACGGGATAAGGCTGCCTGGAGGAGGGGTATCCCCGGCATCATGAGGAAACCCTTTGAGAAGAAGACCACTGCTGGGGTCACCTTTGGGGTGCGCCTCGATGACTGCCCACCTGCACAAACCAACAGGGTAAGAGAGAGAGTGTGTATGTGTGTGTTTACATGTGAGAAAGACATGGAAATGATGTTGTTGAATGAATTGAGTATATGTTTTGTTTCCCTGTGATAGTTGAGTAGTGTGATCTTGAAGGGAAACTTCCTCTAGACACTAGTCTCCCTACATAGGGGGTGTTTCAGACATAATTATGCACCATAGTGCAATTGTGTTATTTTCGCGTTGAGAGAGTTCAACCAATGACATCATTGGTGGATTGAGCCTGCTTTCTGATCTAAAAATGAATGGAGTCATGTTTTGTAGCAATTATTGTGGCCTTTGTGTTTCTCTGATTGCACGGTCACGCTAGCAGCGAGGAGATATGGTTGTCCTTGTTCAATAGAGCCATTGGACTTGTCTCAACGATGTTCCTATCTGCCACGACATAGCAGGATATCTAGGTTGACTCATTTTCCCTGGCTTTGTAAAGACAACAGCCTGACGGGAGCCCTACTTCCTCATCCAATTGTGTTCCCACCCTCGAAGGCAGGCTTTTCAAAACGGGGGCAATACTCGTTTCTACAGGTTCACAGGAGCTATGTTACTGTGCACTGTCTATCCGAGATTGCTAAATAATTACAATGGCTGCATCTGATGATTCCTCTTTCCAAGAAGAGCTGGACAACGAAACCGTTTTTGATGTTATTTTACATAGGGACATACAGCCCTATTCATTTGAGCCGGAATAGGAGTTGAGACAGCGACAATAAGAATTGCGAGACCAGCAAGCAGCGATGGGGAGCCACTGTCAGACTCCGACTGGTGGTGCCTAAGCGGTTGCTGTCCAGCCATGCCGACAGAAGAATGTCTGTGCTGCAACGAATTCGATCGCGGGCGGTTCTTACTGGAGAGAGTCACTGCAGACCCCTTGGGTCGTGTGTGTGTGTGACAGACCATCTAAGCTTTGACGCACATATGGATAGAGGGGTGCTGGAGATGTTCTTCAGAACCTCCAAGATCAACTGGGGTTGGCAGCCTTGTCCAGCTGGACCAGGAGAGCAAATGCCAAACAAGTAAGTGGTTTTGCTGTTGGTAGCTAGCTAGCAATATAAGCTCTCATTTTACATGAGGCAGTGTTGTTCAGTACAGTATAACTTCGTGATCGTAAAGGGGCTTGCTAGTACCACTACTATCCAAGCTAACCATGTTGAGTGAGCTAGCTTTGTTTACTATACCAAAAAAGTACTGTAGCCTAACGTTGTAGCTAGCTAATGTTAGCTAGCCTAGCTAGCCTCAGTGAATCTCATTTGGAACTAAACTGGATAAATGTTTTGATAACGAAGAGTAAAGAAATGACTTTGGCTTTATGACTCATATTAGACTTTGAGTAACTATACCTGTGTGTTGTAGGTAGCTAGCTAGCTATCATGTGTCTGTGAGATATGTAATATTCTGCATCTTGCTGCAACAGTAGGAATACAAAGAGTACACAAAGATTGCCCATGAAAGTCTAATAGCGTTTTTGGCATTCTCTTACAGACAATACAGCTTGGTGGCCTACAGATTGTTTTGGGAGTTTGTTCTACATGGGGAGAAGCTAGGTAGAGGACACTGAATCCCCTTGCCTGCATGTGTTGTTTGGGCCATTAAGCAATTTATCCCTCACACAATGGACAGTATGTTGGCTACAAAGAAGTGGTTGACTCAAAGAGGAGATGTGAAGGGTCCCATAACAACAGTCTCCCCTTGTATCAAAGTGACTACGAACACCTCACTGCACCCCCCAAACAGCACATATGCAAGTATTCCCATTGTGGAACTGTAGTATTTATTATAGGTGTTAGTATATTTTTATTCTACTGTATATACGTCATACATTGCCATAACTGTTCCTGCATACTACTGTGTCACCTTGATCTCCAGAGCAAATAACCTTTGTCTTGAATACAAGCCATTTCTACTTAATTGCTACATTGTCAGATTAATCTACTATTTTATTGAAATATGTTTACTTGCCAACAAATAAAAGTTGAAATGATACACCAACTCCCTGCGTATTTCTTTAGCAGCAAGATTGTAGCTAGTTACTTCCAAATACATTTAATGTATATCACAATGAATTGTGTCATCACTTTATTGGTTTCTGATGCAGCTGGAGTCATTTAACTGTACACTTGAAAAAAAGACAGCTTGATGTTGATGCTGCTGCAGATGTTGATGGGATCAGACACTGTAAATAGAACACATAGGCCAGTCACGTTAGCCTCTGCGGTAGTTAGTTAGCTAACGGTTAGATATGGTCCAGTAGGCTGTAGCTAACGTAACTAAGTGGTCAGATGACGCAGATGCTAAGCTACAGGACTGTTTTGCTAGCACAGACTGGAACATGTTCTGGGATTCTTCAGATAGCATTGAGGAGTACACCACATCAGTCACTGGCTTCATCAATAAGTGCATCGATGACGTTGTCCCCACAGTGACCGTACGTACCCCCACCAGAAGCCATGGATTAGAGGCAACATCCGCACTGAGCTAAAGGGTAGAGCTGCCGCTTTCAAGGAGCTGGACTCTAACCTGAACGCTTATAAGAAATCCCGCTATGCCCTCCGACGAACCATCAAACAGGCAAAAAGTCAATACAGGACTAAGATTGAATCGTACTACACCGGCTCTGACGCTCGTCGGATGTGACAGGGCTTGAAAACTATTACAGACTACAAAGGGAAGCACAGCCGCGAGCTGCCCAGTGACACAAGCCTACCAGATGAGCTAAACCACTTCTATACTCGTTTCGATGCAAGCAACACTGAAGCATGCATGAGAGCACCAGCTGTTCCGGATGACTATGTGATCACGCTCTCTGTAGCCGATGTGAGTAAGACTTTTAAGCAGGTCAACATTCACAAGGCCGTAGGGCCAGACGGATTACCAGGACGTGTACTCCGAGCATGTGCTGACCAACTGGCAAGTGTCTTCACTGACATTTTCAACATGTCTGACTGAGTCTGTAATACCAACATGTTTCAAGCAGACCACCATAGTCCCTGTGCCCAAGGACACTAAGATAACCTGCCTAAATGACTACCGACCCGTAGCACTGACGTCTGTAGCCATGAAGTGCTTTGAAAGGCTGGTCATGGCTCACATCAACACCATTATCCCAGAAACCCTAGACCCACTCCAATTTGCATACCGCCCCAACAGATCCACAAATGATGCAATCTCTATTGCACTCTACACTGCCCTTTCCCACCTGGACAAGAGGAACACCTACGTGAGAATGCTATTCATTGACTACAGCTCAGCGTTCAACACCATAGTGCCCTCAAAGCTCATCACTAAGCTAAGGATCCTGGGACTAAACACCTCCCTCTGCAACTGGATCCTGGACTTCCTGACGGGCCGCCCCCAAGTGGTAAGGGAAGGTAACAATACATCTGCCACACTGATCCTCAACACATGCTCAGTCCCCTCCTGTACTCCCTGTTCACCCATGACTGCATGGCCAGGCACGACTCCAACACCATCATTAAGTTTGCCGACGACACAACAGTGGTAGGCCTGATCACCGACAACGATGAGACAGCCTATAGGGAGGAGGTCAGAGACCTGGCCGTGTGGTGCCAGGATAACAACCTCTCCCTTAACGTGACCAAGACAAAGGAGATGATTGTGGACTACAGAAAAAAAAGAGGAATGAGCACGCCCCCATTCTCATCGACAGGGCTGTAGTGGAACAGGTTGAGAGCTTCAAGTTCCTTGGTGTCCACATCACCAACGAACTATCATGGTCCAAACACACCAAGACAGTCGTGAAGAGGGCACGACAAAGCCTATTCCCCCTCAGGAGACTGAAAAGATTTGGCATGGGTCCTCAGATCCTCAAATAAGCTCTACAGCTGCACCATCGAGAGCATCCTGACTTGTTGCATCACTCCTGGTATGGCAACTGCTCGGCCTCCGACCGCAAGGCACTACAGAGGGTAGTGCGTACGGCCCAGTACATCACTGGGGCCAAGCTTCCTGCCATCCAGGACCTCTATACCAGGCGGTGTCAGAGGAAGGCCCTCAAAATTGTCAGACTCCAGCCACCCTAGTCATAGACTGTTCTCTCTGCTACCGCACGGCAAGCGGTACCAGAGCGCCAAGTCTAGGTCCAAAAGGCTTCTCAACAGCTTCTACCCCCAAGCCATAAGACTCCTGAACAGCTAATCATGGCTACCCGGACTATTTGCACTGCCCCCCCACCCCCACCCCATCTTTTTACGCTGCTGCTACTCTGTTAATTATTTATGCATAGTCACATTAACTCTACCCACATGTACATATTACCTCAACTACCTCAGCTAGCCGGTGCCCCCGCACATTGACTCTGCACCGGTACCCCCCTGTAGCCTCCCTACTGTTATTTTATTTTACTTCTGCTCTTTTTTTTCTCAATAGTTTTGTTGTTTTATTTTACTTTTTTATTACCAAATACATGCATTGTTGGTTAAGGGCTGTAAGTAAGCATTTCACGGTAATGTCTACACCTGTTGTATTCGGCGCATGTGGCAAATAAAATTTGATTTGATTTGCAAAGTTACACAGCTGGTTAATTACATTGATTTGCTTTGAATGTCTAGCCAGCGTATTATGAAATCTAGCTAGCTAGATTTTGGTTCAGATAAACAAATGTAGTTCGCTAGCTAAATTGGCTACGTTACCTCTGCTCGACTTCTAAGGTAACCGATGAAATGTTACCCCAGCAGCCTGTGCTTGCTTGTAGTTTGCACATCCAGATACTGAGCACCACACCATGACTAAACTTTACAGCTGTTGTCGAAATAAAAATAAATGGCTATTCGCAAGCTGATGTTCTATGAACAAGTGGCTGGTCCTGTGAGTAACGTTAGCTACGCTACCTGTATCTCCTAAATACCTGTATCTCCATCTCCCATTCGCAACTGGATCCACCTTGACAGGGGCAGTACTACGTCCTGAAATCACTTTGAATTATGGATATTGTGGTTTGCTTGAACCAGGAAATGTAGATGTCCAATTTCTACCGGTGAGATGCATAAACACTCGTATTTGCGTGTAGTGAGGAAATTCCCGATTTGTAAGACTCATTATATGTTAATAACATATTAATGGACACATAAACACACAGACTGGGGTGTAACACTGCCTAGTGTGATGACAACACAGCGTCTTGCATATCTGTACAATACAATAACCCCTACATCTTCATTCCTTTGTTTTCTTATGTAATTTATTTGAGGTGTAAGTATTGATCTGTAATGATGTACTATACTCTGGCATTGCATTGACAAACTGAAATACTGTCATGTTTCTCTGAGCTAATAAAATGCTTTTAAAGGATATCTGGATTAGACTGGAATGGACTGGTTTGGTCTTGTTGATGTGACACTGTGTAGTGGGGATGAGAGGAGAGGGATGGTTGGATACGGGAGGAGGAGAGGATAGGAAGAGAGAGAGGTGATCGTTGGGAAAGAGAGGTGGTTCATGTGCCATCCTGCCCTTTAGGGTGGCATGTCAGAAGCCTTGTGTGTGTGTGTAGTCCCGTGTAGCTCAGTTGGTATAGCATGGCGCTTGCAACGCCAGGGTTGTGGGTTCGTTTCCCACGGGGGACCAGTATAAATAAATAAAATAATTATGCACTCACTAACTGTAAGTCACTCTGGATAAGAGCGTCTGCTAAATGACTAAAATGTAAATGTAATGGACAGACATATACAGTGAAAGAGCAGCAGTTAAATTTCCCTTTTAATGTGTGAGGTATAAATTCTACTTTGTGTATATGAAAGTGGTGTCTGTTTATTTGTTTCTTGGTTCATCCAATATGTATAATGCTAAATACTTTATGTTTGTGTTGTGTAGTTTGTTCCCCTCATTGTGGATGTGTGCTGTAAGCTGGTAGAGGAAAGAGGGCTGGAGTACACTGGGATCTACAGAGTACCAGGAAACAATGCTGCCATCTCCAGCATGCAGGAGGAGCTGGACAATAAAGGACTGATGAGTGACATCGACATCCAAGAAGAAGTGAGTGACACATGTATACAGTGCCTTCAGAAAGTTGTTCATACCCCTTAACTTAGTCCACATTTTGTTGTTAGAGCCTGAATTCCAAATGGATTTAAAGAATAATAATTCTCACCCATCTACACACAATACCCCATAATGACAGTGAAAACATGTTTTTAGAAATTTTAGCAAATGTATTGAAAATGAAATACAGAAATATCTAATTTACACAAGTATTCATACCCCAGAGTCAGTACTTTGTAGAAGCACCTTTGGCAGCGATTACAGCTGTGAGTCTTTCTGGGTAAGTCTCTAAGCGCTTTCCACACCTGGATTGTGCAACATTTGACCATTTATTTGTTTCAAATTTCTTCAAGCTCTGTCAAATTGGTTGTTGATCATTGCTAGACAACCATTTTCAGGTCTTGCCATACATTTTCAAGTGGATTTAAGTCAAAACTGTAACTCAGCCACTCAGGAACATTCACTTGGTAAATAACTCCAGTGTAGATTTGGACTTGTGTTTTAGGTTATTGTCCTGCTGAAAAGTGAATTCATCCCCCAGTGTCTGGTGGAAAGCAGACTGAACCAGGTTATCCTATAGGATTTTGCTTGTGTTTATTTTTTATCCTGAAAAACTCCCCAGTCCTTAATGATTACAAGCATACTCATTACATGATGCAGCCACTTCCTATGTTTGGAAATATGGAGTGGAACTCAGTAATGTGTTGTATTGGATTTGCCCCAAACATAACACTTTGTGTAGAGCAGGGGTGTCAAAGTCAAATGGACGGAGGGCCAAATAAAAAATTTAGCTACAAGCCGAGGGCCGGACTGTTCGAATGTTCATTGAAAAATGTTTAAATGACGCATATAGTCTAGTGAACCTAATTGAACCTACTGAAAACCTAACAAATATATTCCAATATGATCAGATAAATAAAGCAATATTTTCTTATGGCTCTGTCAGTAATCTTTAATTTTCAACAGACACAAAAGACAAATTTCCTTTATATAAAAATCCCCATAACTACTATCTACTATCTCGGCAATGGTGTTTCTGCTCAGACTCACATTTAAAAAGAGTTGCCTTTTTTCTGGGCAAACTTCGTCACAAACTTTAATCATGCAGTTTTTGATGAAATCCCCCTCCGTAAATGGCCGGGCTGATTTAGCGATCTCTTCTGCCAAAATAAAACTGGCCTTGACAGCAGCCTGGCCTTGTGATTTGGCTTTTTTGAACAGAGCCTGTCGAGATTTGAGGCCTCGTTTTAATTCCTCTGCCTTTTGTAGCCTTTGTTCCATGTCCATATTCTTGTTTTTGTCCGCGTGTTTCGTTTCATAATGTCGTCTCAGATTATACTCTTTCAGTACCGCCACACTTTCTCCACACAGAAGACACACAGGTTTTCCAGCTACCTCCGTGAACATATACTCCGACTCCCACCTTGTTTGAAACCCCCGGTTCTCAGTGTCCACCTTCCGTTTTGCCATTTTTGATGGGTATCTGAAAGTTAATTTTACTGTGATGCTGACGACTGCTGTGCCAATAAATATTGAAATGAAGCAGCCTACTGCTCGGTGCGTCACCGTTGCATTGTGGGAAATGTAGTATTGGTGCGTGTAAAAGATCTGCGGGCTGCCGGCTTGCTGCGGTCTGCGGGCCGGTTCTAATAATAAATCAAGATCATCCCAGGGGCCGTAAAAAACCTTCTCGCGGGCCGGATGTGGCCCGCGGGCCTTGACTCTGACATATGTGGTGTAGAGAGTTTTCATCTATTTTTCGTTGGTCTCTATTTACCACAACAAACCGATGCTGGCACTAAGACCGCACTCAACGAGCTGTATAGGGCAATAAGCAAACAAGAAAATGCTCATCCAGAGGCGGCGCTCCTAGTGGCCGGTGATTTTAATGCATGAAAACTGAAATCTGTTGTACCTAATTTCTACCAGCATGTCACCTGTGCAACTAGATGGAGAAAAAAACCTTTTGATTACCTTTACTCCACACACAGAGACGCATACAAAGCTCTCCCTCGCCCTCCATTTGGCAAATCGGACCATAACTCTATCCTCCTGATTTCTGCTTACAAGCAAAAACTCAAACAGGAAGCGGATGCTAAGCTACAGGACTATTTTACTAGCACAGACTGGAATATGTTCTGGGATTCGTCCGATGGCATTGAGGAGTTTACCACATCAGTCACCATCTTCATTAATAAGTCCATCAACGATGTTGTCCCCATAGTGACTATACGTACATATCCCAACCAGAAGCCATGGAATACAGGCAGCAACCGTACTGAGCTAAAGGCTAGAGCTGCCGCTTTCAAAGAGCGGGACACTAATCCGGACCCTTCCCGCTACGCCCTCCGATGAACCATCAAACAGTCAAAGTGTCAATACAGGACTAAGATCGAATCCTACTACACCGGCTCTTGAAGCTTGTCGGATGTGGCAGGGATTGCAAACTATCACAGATATGAAAGGGAAGCACAGCCGAGAGCTGCCCAGTGACGCGAGCCTACCAGATGAGCTAAATGCCTTCTATGCTCGCTTTGAGGCAAGCAACACTGAACCATGCGTGAGTGCACCAGCTGTTCCGGACATCTGCATGATCACACTCTCCGTAGTCTGTGAGTAAGACAGGGTATCATTCACAAGGCTGCAGGGCCAGACGGATTACCAGGACGCGTACCCCCGAGCATGCGCTTACCAGCTGGCAAGTGTCTTCACTGACATTTTCAACCTCTGACTTAGTCTTTAATACCTACATGTTTCAAGCAAACCACCATAGTCCCTGTGCCTAGGAACGCTAAGGAAACCTGTTTAAATGACTTCCACCCTGTAGCACTCACATCTGTAGCCATGAAATGCTTTGAAAGGCAGTTCATGGCTTACATCAACACCATCATCCCAGAAACCCTGGACCCACTCCAATACGCATACCGCCTCAACAGATCCACAGATGATGCGATCCCACCTGGACAAAGGGAACACCTACGTGAGAATGCTGTTCATTGACTACAGCTTAGCGTTCAACACCATACTGCCCTTCAAGCTCATCACTAAGCTAAGGACCCTGGTACTGAACACCTCCCTCTGCAACCGGATCCTGGACTTCCTGACGGGCAGTCCCCAGGTGGTGAGGGTAGGCAACAACACATCTGCCACGCTGACCCTCAACACAGGGGCCCCTTGGGTGCGTGCTCAGTCCCCTCCTGTACTCCCTGTTTACTTACGACTGCGTGACCGCGCACAAATCCAACACCATCATTAAGTTTGGCGACGACACGCCGGTGGAAGGCCTGATCACTGACGATGATGAGGCGGCTTATAGGGAGGAGGTAAGAGACCTGGCAGTGCGATGCCAGGACAAAAACCTCTCCCTCAACAGGGGCAAGACAAAGGAACTTATCATGGACTACAAGAAATGGAGGGCCGAACACGGCCCCATTCACATCGACGGGGCTGTAGTGGAGCGGGTTGAAATCTTCAAGTTCCTCGGTGCCACATCACTAAGGACCTATCATGGTCCAAACACACAAACAGTCGTGAAGAGGGCATAACAATGCCTCTTCCCCCTCAGGAGGCTAAAAAGATTTGGCATGGGCCCTCAGATCCTCAAAAAGTTATATAGCTGCACCATTGAGAGCATCTTGACTGGCTGCATCACCGCTTGGTATGCAACTGCTCGGCATCCGACAACAAGGTGCTACAGAGGGTAGTGCATACGGCCCAGTATAACACTGGTGCCAAACTCCCTGCCATCCAGGACGTCTATTCCAGGCGTTGTCAGAGAAAGGCCCTAAAAATTGTCAAGGACTCTAGCCACCTAGTACAGACTGTTCTCTCTGCTACCGCACCTGAACAGTTAATCAAATGGCAGTTTACATTGACCCCCTATATTATTTATTTATGTATTTATCTTAATTGCTTTGCACTGACTTCCTTGCATTGGCTCTATGCACACTCACTGGACTCAACCCACACACTCACACATACTACACTGACACTCTAACACACACATATACATACACAAATAATACATACGCTCACACACACAAAACACACACATGCATATTGACGCACCACACACACATACTCACACACTGACACTTTCACACTTCACATACGCTGCTGCTACTCTGTTTATTATACTGAATATCCTGATTGCTTAGTCACTTTCACCCGTACCCATATGTACATATACTGTGTTACCTCAACTACTTTGTACCGCTGCACATTGACACGGTACTGGTACTCCTTGTATATAGCCTCGTTATTGTTTTTGCTGCCATTTCCTTTTTTCTGTAAATTCTACACCTGTTGTATTCGGCGCATGTGACTGAATTTGATTTGAGTTTCTATTCAGGACTAAAAGTTCATTGCTTTGCCACATTTTTTGCAGTATTACTTTAGTGCCTTGTTGCAAACAGGATGCGTGTTTTGGAATATTTATTATTCTGTACAGGCCTCGTTTTCCTTCTGTCATTTACATTAGTATTGTGGAGTAACTACAATGTTGTTGATCCATCCTCAGTTTTCTCCTATCACAGCCATTAAACTCTGTATCTGTTTTAAAATCACCATTGGCCTCATGGTGAAATCCCTGAGCGGTTTCCTTCCTCTCAGTCAACTGAGTTAGAAACGGCCCCTGTATCTTTGTAGTGAATGGCTGTATTGCTACACCATCCAAAGTGTAATAAATAACTGCACCATGCTCAAAGGGATATTAAATGTCTGCTTTTCAATTTTTAATTTTTAATCTTCAATAGGAGCCCTTCTTTGCGAGGCATTGGAAATTCTCCCTGGTCTTTGTGGTTGAATCTATCTTTGAAATTCCCTGCTTGACTGAGGGACCTTACAGATAATTGTATGTGTGGGGTACAGAGATGAGGTAGTCATTAAAAAATCATGTTAAACACTATTATTGCGCAGACTTAATACGCACATTTTTACTCCTGAACTTAATTAGGCTTGCCATAACAAAGGGGTTGAAAACTTATTGACTCAAGACATTTCAACTTTTCATTTTGAATTAATTTGTAAAAATTTCAAAAAACATAATTCCACTTTTTATTTTCAAAATGAATTTTCAAAAAACATAAAAACACTATTTAATCCATTTTAAATTCAGGCTGTAACACAACAAAATGTGGAAAAACTCGATGGGTGTGAATACTTTCTGAAAGCACTGTATCTCTCCCATACCTCACAATAATGTATTTAATGCTTTTTCTCTCTTGCTCTCCCTGACAGAAATGGAGGGACCTCAACGTGATCAGTAGTTTACTGAAATCCTTCTTCCGTAAACTTCCCGAGCCCCTTTTCACAAATGGTGAGTCACTGAACACACAGTGTAAATGCATGTCTGTAAAGAAGAGAAAGTTGGTTAAGGAAGTTGTTAATAAATCAATGTATTTATTTGTAGTATGCCTTATTGCTCCATTTTCAGTCTTGGTCACTAAAGAAACTAAGTGATCCTTGTATTCCTTTTACAGAAAAATATGCAGATTTTATTGAAGCCAATCGAACTGAAGACTCAGTGGAGAGGTTAAAAGAACTGAAGAGGCTGGTAAGTTACAGCTCATGCTATGAGGGTTTATGTTAGATCTGTAGGAATAAGAGCTTTATGTAGCCTACCGTTTGAATTGAATTTGGATTTTTGGAATTGTTGCATTCTAGTATTGAAGGTTGGTTCTCTTCTCTTCACAGATTCTTGAATTGCCTGATCATCACTATGAAACCCTCAAATTTCTCTCTGGACACCTCAAGTTGGTCTCCGAAAACTGTGAAAAAAATAAGGTATGTCAGCTTGAGGGTTTAAAAGTATTTTGAAATGGAGCCTTTTAATGGAGAGGCCTAGTGAATATGGACTGGACTGGAAGCCATTCTTGCTCCTCTCTCCCCCCAGATGGAGCCTCGTAACCTGGCCATCGTGTTTGGTCCAACCCTGGTCAGAACCTCGGAGGACAACATGACCAACATGGTCAACCACATGCCAGACCAGTGCAAGATAGTGGAGAACCTCATTCAGCAGTACGACTGGTTCTTCACTGAGGAGGGGGATGATGACCCTGTTGTACGTAGCATCTCGCTCACTCTCTCACATCTAAACACACTCATGTACTCTCAGCTGGTAATGGCACAGAATGTTAAATTGTGTGATGTACAGTGGGGAAAAAAAGTATTTAGTCAGCCACCAATTGTGCAAGTTCTCCCACTTAAAAAGATGAGAGAGGCCTGTAATTTTCATCATGGGTACACGTCAACTATGACAGACAAAATGAGAAAAATAAATCCAGAAAATCACATTGTAGGATTTTTAATGAATTTATTTGCAAATTATGGTGGAAAATAAGTATTTGGTCTATAACAAAAGTTTCTCAATACTTTGTTATATACCCTTTGTTGGCAATGGCACAGGTCAAACGTTTTCTGTAAGTCTTCACAAGGTTTTCACACACTGTTGCTGGTATTTTGGCCCATTCCTCCATGCAGATCTCCTCTAGAGCAGTGATGTTTTGGGGCTGTCGCTGGGCAACACGGACTTTCAACTCCCTCCAAAGATTTTCTATGGGGTTGAGATCTGGAGACTGGCTAGGCCACTCCAGGACCTTGAAATGCTTCTTACGAAGCCACTCCTTCGTTGCCCGGGCGGTGTGTTTGGGATCATTGTCATGCTGAAAGACCCAGCCACGTTTCATCTTCAATGCCCTTGCTGATGGAAGGAGGTTTTCACTCAAAATCTCACAATACATGGCCCCATTCATTCTTTCCTTTACACGGATCAGTCGTCCTGGTCCCTTTGCAGAAAAACAGCCCCAAAGCATGATGTTTCCACCCCCATGCTTCACAGTAGGTATGGTGTTCTTTGGATGCAACTCAGCATTCTTTGTCCTACAAACACGACGAGTTGAGTTTTTACCAAAAAGTTATATTTTGGTTTCATCTGACCATATGACATTCTCCCAATCCTCTTCTGGATCATCCAAATGCACTCTAGCAAACTTCAGACAGGCCTGGACATGCACTGGCTTAAGCAGGGGGACACGTCTGGCACTGCAGGATTTGAGTCCCTGGCGGCGTAGTGTGTTACTGATGGTAGGCTTTGTTACTTTGGTCCCAGCTCTCTGCAGGTCATTCACTAGGTCCCCCCGTGTGGTTCTGGGATTTTTGTTCACCGTTCTTGTGATCATTTTGACCCCACGGGGTGAGATCTTGCGTGGAGCCCCAGATCGAGGGAGATTATCAGTGGTCTTGTATGTCTTCCATTTCCTAATAATTGCTCCCACAGTTGATTTCTTCAAACCAAGCTGCTTACCTATTGCAGATTCAGTATTCCCAGCCTGGTGCAGGTCTACAATTTTGTTTCTGATGTCCTTTGACAGCTCTTTGGTCTTGGCCATAGTGGAGTTTGGAGTGTGACTGTTTGAGGTTGTGGACAGGTGTCTTTTATACTGATAACAAGTTCAAAAAGGTGCCATTAATACAGGTAACGAGTGGAGGACAGAGGAGCCTCTTAAAGAAGAAGTTACAGGTCTGTGAGAGCCAGAAATCTTGCTTGTTTGTAGGTGACCAAATACTTATTTTCCACCATAATTTGCAAACAAATTCATTAAAAATCCTACAATGTGATTTTCTGGATTTTTTTCTCTCAATTTGTCTGTCATAGTTGATGTGTACCTATGATGAAAAAATACAGGACTCTCTCATTTTAAGTGGGAGAACTTGCACAATTGGTGGCTGACTAAATACTTTTTTTCCCCACTGTAGTTGATGTTTGTTGATGTTGCAGGTTGCCTAAAGTGTTTTTAGATTCTCTCTCCATCCCTCTTTCCTCCTCTACTTCAACACTATCTCCATTCATATCCCTCGTTGAATCTCTCTCTCCTCTAGACCTCAGTGGAACAGGAGAGTACAGTGCAGTCTCAGCCTGTGCCCAACATCGACCACCTGCTGTCCAACATCGGCCGTACCACAACCACCACCTCGCCTGGGGAAGTCTCAGGTAACTCACCTGAAGCTCACTGATAGCACTCCTGTTAGTTTGACTACATATACCAGATTTACCAAAGTATAAAACAAAGTATACTAATGAGCTTCAGGGAACGTGATCCAGGAAATGTGTGTGTATGTTTAGAGATGTACATGCATGTGTTTGTTAGTCCTAAAGTAAGAGGCTTCTTGTTTGCTTTCCATCAGATGATCAAATGCTAAAGTTAAGGAAGCCTACTGAAAAGTCTTGTGCTTTTGTAAAGGCAAGCTATTTTAGCAATTCTTCAAAGGAAGGATTTTGGGTTATCCAATTGGAAATTGCTAAAAATAGTTTGCAAATCTTGTTAAGCGTTTTGTTTTGGATAAAGGTCTGTTTCGTTATGTCATTATTATTTTTTATTTGTTATATCTCTTTCCCAGTTCCATCTTATGCTTTCTTAAGTTTTCTTTGCTCGCCATTTCTCTCCCCGTGCTTTCCTCCTTATGTTGAGATGACGACTCCTTTTCTTTCAGTTATTTTCTTCCCCCCCACCCTCCTCCTCCCACATAAACCCGGCATGTTCTTTCCCCAAAAACAACAACAACAAACAAACAAAACAACAAAGTGGAAGTGTTAACCCTTCTGACCCCTACCCTTGGTTTGTGTGTAGTGTGTTTTTTTCTTCCCTGTCCCTGTCCAGCACTCACACATTGACCCAATCTGACACAGGCCAAGGGGGCGGCGTCTGTCACTCGCTGATGTCACTGGTGGACTCTGTAATGTCAGTGGTGGACAGCTGGGACTGTAGGAAGAAGGACGATGAGTGTTGTCCCCAGTGTAGCTGCCTAGTCTGCAGAAACCCTCAGCTCTGTTAAATTGGGGTGAAACATGAAGGAGAGAAAAAAAAGAAAAACGGAAAGAAAGAGAAGTCGATGTTTTGTCATTTCCTGTCGGTGTGCACGTTTTTCATATTTCCCCAAACATCGAAATACCTAATAACCTGAAGGTTACATACAGAGCAGTGCCTGCTGTACTTTCTACTGAAAGCCTTTCTGCTGTCTCTTGTTGTCTCTAAAGCTGATCGCGAGGACAAGTAGCATGGTACGGTCAAACTATGGTTTCACTACCGCCCGCTCATGTGGCATTACTGTCATGGCTTCTGAGGGGGGGTTGTAGTGTTGGAGTGGTGTTGGGCTGAGCTGGCTGTTGTCAAACACACTAAAATGACATCTAGGAGAGATCAGCACCTCGTTAGACACACACACACACACACACACACACACACACACACACACACACACACACACACACACACACACACACACTAGGGTGATTAGATGGATACCAGTGAGGTGGTAAGCAAAGTGGCTCTGATGGCTTTTGCTCCTTCAGCCCCTTTCTGCCTTCCTGTCACGTTTGACTCTCAATCTCACATTTGGGATTGACACCATAGGGTGAATCTCAAACATATTTTGTTCTTGCGTGCTTTCTCCTCGTCTCCTCAAAACGTCAGATGGAAGCAAGGACAGCATTGGAGGAGAAGGTCTGAGGAGATCTCTCCTTGCCTTCCCTCTGACGTTTTGTGAACGAGGTGAGGAGAGGAAGGAAAAAATCTAGGAAAGAGATTCACCCCTGGTCTTATCAATGAACCACTGTTCTTTCAGCATCAGAAACACCAACTACAGCCAAACACTGCCACCTAGCTACCTCCTTGTCCTTCACGGCTACATACTTCTACCCAAATGCACCAACCATCCACATCTATCAAACACCCATCTCCCCCATCAAAAGCCTTGCGTTGCACACTGATATACACACCAGAGTTTGGGTCACTTCCACCTAAATTCCAGTTGATTCAGGTAAATAACATTTCCTATATGGAGATATTCCATGTCCAATTCAGCTGACAAGAATTGAAATGGAATTGACCCCAACTCGGGCACACACAACTCGAAGTTAAGCGCACACACTTAAGTCGTACCCTCCACACTATTGTGACTTGATAGTGGTAGTATTGATGCGGTAGGGAATGGTTTCTTTGAAATTTTTTCTTTGATAAGGTTTTTGTACGATCCTTGTTTTGTAGTGTTTATGGTCGTCAGTCATATTCAATTGACTTAAACCAAAATGTTCAAGAGTGCTGCAGGGATTGTAAAATAGAGTTCTAGACATATTGCACAACCTGTCCATTCTACTATGGCTAACTTGCATGGGTGGAACTACTGACATAACACTGCTCTGTCCCCTTAACTCTGGTTGTGAATACTTCCTCTGTGATTGATGTCTTTCAGTTAGGATAGAATGCCCTGTTGCTGGTGGCTGTCTATGTACTGTAACCGTCTGTGACTGATGTAACCGTCTGTGACTGATGTAACCTGTGGTCCGTGATGTGTTGATGTCATCCCATTGGGTACATCCTGTTATGAGCATGAGCTGCTTCCTGTCCTAATGCACACTGCCGGGTTTCTTCTTCCTCCTCCTCTTCCTCTCATCCCTCCATTACTGGCCTCCTCTTCTCTTCTTCCACTCATGGACAGTGTCTTTCTTCAGCGTTTCCTTCCTCCATCTCTGTGGGCTACAAATATCTCCACTCTGTTGAATCTACTGCCCCCTCATGGTGCAGGTTTCTGTCTCTTCTTCACGCTACCCTGTGATCTGCCTACAGTCTCTGTCCTCCTCTCTCTCTCCCTCTCCCTTGATACTTGTTGTTCAGATTATATATGTCTTAAAGAATGTTACTAATGCCCCTCTCCTCTCTCACAAAGATTCAACATGTAGTGACTCCTCCAAATCAAAGGTAAGTGGTACCGGGGTGTCTGGCCGTCTCTTGCTTGCTATTAGATGTTAATTACCTTCACTAAGAAATAATATCTAAAACGCCTTGTCCTGCTCACTGTGGAATGTTCAACCGTTTACATTTTAGCCATTTAGCAGATGCTCTTATCCATAGTGATTAGCAATTGACCATGCCGTTTCAGAGCAGACTTAGAATATGTTTGTGGCGAAATTCCTCATTTAAGAACAATTATGTGTTTTAATGTAACTGGACGTCCTGTTGCTCTGTCCTAGCAGGGCTTGTGGGGGTCTGGGAAGGACCAGTGTAGCAGGGAGATGCTGCTCTCCTCCTTCTTTGTCAGTCGCAAACGTAAGAAGCCCAAGGACAAGGCTCAGCCCAGCAGCTCTGACGACGACCTGGACGCCGTGTTGGCTAAGAAAGAGGAGCCAGAACAGAGCCACCGGGACCTCCACCCCGCCTGGTCCCCAGAGAGTCAGACAGAGGAGGAGGAGAGGGAGGCCAGCGAGAGAGGGGAACAGCCAGGGGACAGGTTCCAAACCAACGGGAAAGAGTCTCGTTCAGACAGCCTTATGTCTCAGCCCTCTCCCAAACACACCCCCAGCCTCCGTACCTCCTCTACCCGCTCCCCCTATGCCTCACCCTCCCCCTCCCAGTCCCCCAGCCTTGGCTATCGCAGCCAGGTGACCCACCAGTTGTCCCTGTCGGACCCCCCCTCCAACTACGATGAGGTCTCAGACCTGGGCACCATGAACAGCACCAGCTCCCAGGCGTCTGTCACAGGTCCCAGGGTGCGGCATGGCAGGACAGGGGGCCTGGGGCCAGAGACGGTGGCCAGCGGCCTGGGGGCAGAGGTCAGCTCCATCACCTCAGACTACTCCACCACCTCCTCTATGACCTTCCTGACAGGGGCCGAGCTGAGCACGCTCAGTCCAGAGGTACGCTCGGTGGCTGAGAGCAGGGGAGGAGACGACGCTGATGATGAGCGTAGTGAGCTGATTAGTGAGGGCCGGCCCATGGAGACGGACAGCGAAAGCGACCTATCAGTGTTTGTTGGGGGCGGGAAGGAGGCAGGGCCGGTGGAGGAGATCTGCCAATCAGACGTGCCGGACGCACCCAGGCCCCTCCCCTCCTACAGACTCATTGAATGTGACTCTCTCTCTAGAAAGAAGTCAGCAGCACGGCAGAAGATTGACAGCGAGTCCTCATTGGATGGAGGGCGGAGCGACAAGGACTCCAATAGGCTGTCTTGCGTTCTGGGGGCAGTTAAGGAGCGTTCCACTGGCAGCCTTAGCTCCTCCTCCCGCAGCGAGTCAGAGATGGGGACTGAGCCTGCATGGCGTCTCAAGATCACAGACCGTCTTAAGTTCCGAATGCGGACGTCTGCGGACGACATGTTCGGGGTGGGCACCCAGCGGAGCCGCTCTCCAGAGGGACGCAGGGACAAGAAGAAGAACATCAGACGCAGACACACCATGGGAGGCCAGAGGGACTTTGCTGAGCTGTCTGTGATGGGGGACTGGCAGGAGGGCATGGGGATGGGCGGGGGCTCGCGGGCGGAGCTGTCGGCCGTGGACCGGCTGAAGCCCAAGTGTTCTTCCCAGGACTTCTCCATCCGGGAGTGGATTGCCCGCGAGCGCCACCGCACCTCCAACCCAGAGGTCAGCCTGGACTTAACTGAACACCAGGGGGCGCTACTCCACCTCCGCAGCCCCGACCCCCAGGACCCCAACCACCCCCAGGCCCAGGAGGCCCCGTCGTCTTCCCTCTCAGACCCCCTCTCACCACACCAAGCTCCAGCTGAGCTGCTGAATGGAGACACAGGCCCCCAGAATAAAAGCCTGAGCCTGTCAGCCACCGCACACCCACACAAACTCTCTGGCGCCCAGGTGGTCCACTCTCGCTTCTACCAGTACCTGTGAGAGGGGGTGTCTGGGTGGGAGTGTGTGTGTGTCTACTGTCTGTGAGATGTGTATGTGTTTGATCGTCTGTGTCTATGAGACCCATGGATGTGGGTGATGTTATGTAAATGACCAGTGAGCATGTTCAGGTACTGTGAAGTGACGTCTGAGTGTGTGTACGCAGAGTCTGTTAGTTGGTGTGTGTTTGTTTGTACGCTTAAAATAATGTTTACTGCACAGGGGTGGTTTGTCTTACTCAAACACAAGGCATGGAACAAAACATTAAATTGATGTTGATACATTTTCTCCTTTTTCATGACAAATGAAAGAGTTTGGGATGGGCGTTGGGGTAGAGAAATCATCACTCCTAACAGAAATTCCTGTTTTGCTGAAGGTAGTGACTCAAGGGCCTCTTGCTCATGGATGAACTGATGAGTCTGTGAAGGTTGATTGGTGTAAGGAAGTTTTAAACATGGCTGGCGTTGAAGATTGTGAAAAGGTTAGCTAAGTGGCTTTAAGATACAGTAACTGACTAGTAGGATGATTAGGAGGTACAAGGAACGATTTTAAAAGTATTGCAGGGGAACTGTATTTGTTGTAAGAGGTTGGTTAAAAGTGAGTCCTTCAGTAACCAAATGAAGAATGTACAACGTGCTTGCTGTAATTCTGACTAAAGCTTTAGTTGCTTGTGTTCTCATTTGAAATTGTAGATCTCCCCCTTCCTCTCTCTCTTTCTCTACTTGTGAGCTTTTATTTTTTTCGGGATAGCCTGTGTTTTGGACTGCCATATGTGTTCTGTTGCCGCCGTCACGTGGCCTCAAGGTGCATTGTGACAAGACACAGGACTAACGACGTCATGAAAATACAAAAATAACTTTTTATTCCACCCTTCTTTTAAGTGATAGAAAAGGAGCAGTAAACAAATACTTCCCTCTATTGCAATATTTTGTGTATTTGTTGATGTGCTTGTGGTTTCATGCTTCAGTCAGTTACTGGCATCGGACTGCCAAAAAAATATTGAGAGGGAGAAGAATGTGAATAATCAAATCTGAAATCATGTTTCTTCGCAATAGAAAGTGCCTCAATGAACTGTAAAGGGTGCCATATCGTCTTTGTTGAGATGCATAAAGATGCTACTATGAAATACATTTCTATCGTCGACTAACACTGTCATTCTACAGGTTCTATCTTAAACGGAGAAGAACGCCGGGCTTCCATTCCTTAGGCATTCCACTCTGGTCTTAACATGTTTTATACTTTTCTTTTTTCTTTTCTTTTTTGCATTTTGGATTCTAACAGAACTTGAATTTTTAAATATTTCTGTAAAAAAAAAAAAGTAACTTAAATGTGTATATAAATGCCATGTTTTAGCTGCTTTTTTGTTTCATGTCCATCAAATTGACATATTTTTCGTAAGGTAAAAAGTACAGTATTGTGAGATGTTGCTGATGAAGCCTGATGGTATGTGTGGGTGTTAGTCTAGTGGTTATCTAGGGAGAGATGAGAGATCCCTCCCTGCGTATGAAGAGGCTTCATTGAGCTGCTGGACCATTTGTATCAATATACCCTGTTCTCTCCCTGAGTGGAGGGGGCACGGGCTCCTAAAACACTGGAAATAAATCTTATCAATGGCTAAAAGGGCACGGCTGGTGTTTCAGAATCTACTGCACTCCATGGTTAGTTCCTACTAAAGAGCATTGTTCTGTTTCTTTCATAGTGTCCTACCATAACTCCTACCAGATACAAGCAACATCAGTTAACCTCTACGGGATCGGTGTCCTGTATACGGGACGGATGAGCTAACGTGCACTAATATGATTAGCATGACTGTTGTAAGTAACCACAAACTTTCCAGGACATAGACTTAAATGGGCAGAAAGCTTTAAATTATTGGTAATCTAACTGCACTGTCCAATTTACAGTAGCTATTACAGTAAAAACATACCATGCTATTGTTTGAGGAGAGTGCACAGCAAAAGATGTATCACGGCAACTGGTTTGATACATTCACCTCTGAAGGTAAATAATGTACTTGGGTAATTCTTCAACTATGGTACTCTTTGAGCTAGACAGTTTCAGAAAATAAAAACATTTCTACAAACAATTTTTTAGTATCAGTTGGTTTCTCAATCTGTCTGGAAACCTTCCCTGAAGTTGGCTGTGATGATTTGTATTTACTAATATATATGTTTTGCCATTTTTATCTGACAGTCCAAGAAAACGGTCATTTCCATCACATAACAAAACATGTATTTTTAAGAGAAAATAATGAAATATCTTCTGTTATAAATATATTTGATTAAATAGCACACACATATCTGTTCAAATTTGTAATTTATTATTTTTTTCAGAAATGTAACTGTAAAGATTTTACAATGTTTACACTAAAAAACACCTAAAACTAGGTCAATGGAACATTTCATTTTCTTATCATAGCTCAAAACCATATATTTCTCAAAGTGTATACACAAATCTTAGCCCTAACTGCACAATTATCAACACCACTGAATATAGTTGGTTTGATTGTATGTTTTTTATATGTTTTACTTTAAAATATGTGTTGTGGTGGAAATGACATGGCGTGGCGGAAGAGACAGTGTGTGGCGGAAATGACAGATAGGCAACTTCCAATTAAAAACAATTTTTCTACTGCTCTATGTGGTGAACCAGAGCAAATCAATAAGCAACAGCATTTGTGAACAAAAACATATCACCAATATTTTTAAATTAAAAACAATCCAAAAAATGAAAAAACATGAATTTGTGTTAAAAATCAGCAAATCATTTCTTCACTGTTTTCTACATGCTGAACTAGAGCAAACTAGTACAAACTAGAGCAAACCCTTTATGTCATCATTACCTTAACATAACCTTAATATAACCAGTTGAATAACAGATAAAATAGGCAATATATTTTGAAATTGAAAACTTATATGCCTATGCTGAACCAGAGCAAACACTCTGTACTTAAACATTACTGTCATGTGTGTTATATCGTAAATCCATGTACTGTCAAACGTAATCATGTGGAATAACAAGTTGAATCTGACTAAATAGACATTGTATTTGCTAAATACTGTATCTGTCAAACTTTCATATGGGCCAGAGGTTCAGTTATGTTTCATGGTCAAGAACAGAGCATATTTCTTTCCAAACTGTTGGCTCCACCATCACATGCCTCTTTGTTACTGGTTGAGGCTCTGGGACCAGCCTGATCACATCTTCTGGCCGGTACCAAATAACATCGTCTCTCATAGGCCAGAAGAACTTGTTTTTGCCAATATGACTCATGGTTCTCACCAGAGCACAACCCTCAGGGTCCACATCCTGTATAATGCCAGGGTAAGGATCCCCATCATACCGTACCACACACCAACTTCCAATCAGTCCCTCATGCAGGTCTATGATGGGTTGAGATGTGCTGGTAAGTGTGCTTGAACTTGGTGATCCCAATGCAGTCTCCATGTTCTGTGCTCCCAGTATGTTGACTTTTTTGAGACCAAAACACTGGCAAGGATGGGGATCTGCACAAAAGCAGCTGAGAACTCGCCAAGAAATCTCCTCCGGTCTTGTAGAGACAATCTAAAAGAACAAAGTGCATTTGAATACTGTGGAGATATAAATTGAAAAATGTTAAACTCTCATAACAAAAGTGACATGTGTGATACCTGATGTATCTGCATGGTTCCTTTGATGGTCAGCAGGTCATCAGGAAGGAGACTATCCATCTCTTCAATTTCCCCCTCAGTGATGTACATTAACTTGACAGTTGATGGCTGGTTAAGCAGTTGTTCATACAATACTTTTCCAGTTGGAAGGTCAATGCCCTTGGCCACAAGCGAGTCTGCTTGGCGCTTAACAGCCGCACCAATTCCATCAGCTGGGCCCTTCCCATGTCCGGCCTCCAGAAAATTCCAGGTCACCTTTTTGAATCCTAGCTCATATGGTACTTTGCTCAGGAAAAAAAAGTTCTTTTTTGACCTATACTGAGTGGTTGGGCCATCACTTATGACATGCAGGGTGGTTGCAGCTGTGTTTTGTTGTTTGAGGTAGGGAAGCACTTTTTTGAGGTGAGCCCAGATTGCAGATGGGTCATGGCGCATTGAGGAACTAATGGTGCAAACAGACACAACACCATTCTTCGTGTGAGCCACACCAGTATGGAGGCTTACCTGCTGGTGGGAATCGCCAAAATGGACCGCTTGGATTTCATTGGAAAATTTGCACATGTAATTTTCTGCGAAGTCAATTTGTAGAACAATACTGTCTTCGTCAATCTTTTCTTTTAGTGCTCTCAAAGACAGATATTGGTGTTTTATGTTGTGAATGTGCTTTCCCATCTTTTTTTTCAGTTGGTCAGAAAAGTCATCCAAAAGTGTCTTCAAAGTCCCATATACTTTTTCCTTCGTTGTGTGGTGAACTTTAATCATTTCTTTGGAGCCGTCTTTTTTCTTTTTTTCTCTGTCCTCCACAGAGCTTCTCCATTCAAACCACCAGGTTTGCTCCCCAGCATCGAAGGCAGAGGTTTGGAGTTCATGGTCTTTACAATCCAGACACTCCCTGTACATGCATTCTTTTGTCACATTTTTGCATGTAACTGAATACATGAGATAGGTGACTTTGGACGTTTTAATGACTTTGTGAAAGAACAGTTTGTTTGCCATGAACTGTATGTTTGAGTGTAGCTTACACAGACATGTGTCTCTGTCTTTGATCGTTGGTTTAACAATCCAAAAGGGTCGCTTTTTGCAAAACTCTGCATAGGAGAGTCTGACTTCGGGATTCTCGTGTCTAAACTTCAGGTGCAGTGTCTGCATAGAATCCACCAGGAAGCGCTTTTGCATTTTATTTTTCATCTTTGTAATTGTCTCTTTCTTTCCAGTAGTGGCCCTACTGTTATCGTCGCGTTCTAAAAACGTTGTTATCTTTTCCTTCACTTCTTGGCTGACTCTGTTTCGTTGTGTTTTGCGGGTGTATTTGAGTTTGTCGGCCCTTGTCATGTTTGTCCTGATTAGTTTTGTAGAGAATCCAAACTCCTTCTTGGCCATGGTGACCAGGCGGTATTTTTTAAAGATCTTGCCAGCCACAAGTTTGGAGATCAGTTGCCGAGCTTTACGATTGTCAACATTCTGATACTTTTTTCTTATTTCTGACATAATGCTGTTATGGAATAGGAGTGTCTTCTTTAATTGCTTGCTTTCTTGCTGCATCTGTTGCTTTGTTTTCATTTTAGGTGACTCTAGGATCCCCAGGTTCTTCTTCAGTCGATTACTTCTTTTTTTGTATTTTTCAACTTTTCTGAGGGCATCCTCAAGCTTTTGTTTAATGTCATTAAGATCTCTGTACACCTTTGCTTTTGCCTTCGCAACCTTTTTTCTCCCTCTTTTCCTCTGTGGAGTTCTCTCTGGTGTAGGCTCACACAGCTGAGGTGTTTCAGGGATGTCTTCTGCATTAACACTCATGTTGTCTGGTGATGGTGGTGGTGTTGTATGTGCCATGAAACTATTCACTGCTGAGACCATTTTCCATTTCCTACGTCTGTTTCGTTGAGAAATTCGCCACTGTCTTCTCATTTTTCGTTGTTCTCTTTTCGGCATTTCTGTCACAGATTTAACAACACCTTGTTGCTTTTTCTTCAGGTATCTTTCTCTGTCCTTCTTGAGGGACTCTGCATATTTAAGTGGATCTGATTTTATTCTTTCTCTGTATGATCTTGACCTCTGTGCTGTGGTATTGCTTGCCATCTTAAAGAAAGAGCCAAGACATCATGTCAAACCTACTTATCTATTGTTCTCTTATTTACCAACAATATTGTAATATTGTTAAAACTGTTTTTGAATTTAGTATCAGTATTATAGCCCAAATAATTTGCTGTTTAGCACGAACAATGTCATTTCCACCACAACCTGTCTTTACCACCACAATGAACACCGTGGTGGAAATGACTGTGGTGGAAATGACATTTCCCCACTTTCCCTCTAAAATCTCATGCTATGTTAGCCTGCTAATATTAGTTTTAGAGTTAGCATTAAATATACACAAATTACACATTATTAAATTAAATGTATCCAGTTATTTTTACGTCCATGTGAAATATGAGCTGTTTGGAAATGACGACCAATAAACATACTCTCAGTTTTACTCATATTTACCTTGATTTTTCTTCTTTTCATTACCCCCTGTAGAGGACACCATTTCATCCAGCCATGTGTTCCACTGTGGAGTTTCTGTTGCTATGGTTACTAAATATACAAACCTAAAACACTGATCCCAGGATTCTATTTTGTACAGTGTGGTGGAAATGACAGTGACCCCAAGGGACAAGGGTTCTATTTATGAAAAATATAGGAAAATGTGAATATGTATCACAATATATAATATGTAGAATTGAAATAAATGGTATTTTATCATTTGTACTTGAAATCTACATTATTTAAATATTTAATTTAGAATTAAGCGAGGTTGAAGATACAAAGTCTGGCTTAGGGACAGAGGGAAAACAGTAAAAACCATGCATAAAAGGCCTCATATTATATAATAAAAAGAATGATTGAGCCATGATACATTTTTTATAAGTTCCCCTTAGGGTGGAGTAAGTATGACAAAAACAAAAAATAAGAAATGTTTTTTAGTTTTTATTATTTCATCCAGGGACAAGAAAAGTACCATAGTTAAAGAATCACCCACTTACATTCAGTAATCTTGCTCTGATTTGTCATCCTGAGGGTCCCAGAGATAAAATGTAGCATAGTTTTGTTTGATAAAATCAATTTTTATATTCAAATGTAGGAACTGGGTTCTACAGTTTGAAACCCTTGCTGTCTCTGGCTCCACACCCATCCCGCCCAGCCATCTAGATGTGTGAAAGTTAGTGTATAAGCTAATGATCCATCATGTATGACATTCCTGGGAGTGTGTAAACGTACATTTTGTATTACCATATCATTTTTGTATGTTCTCTATATTTTGTGCTTGAAAATGTATCAATTGACCAATTCGGCACATTTGGGCAGACTTGATACAAAATAGTCCAGTATTGCAATGCTTCACTGGATCAATCTGAAACTTTGCACACACACTGCTGCCGTCTAATGGCTAAAATCTAAATTGCGCCTAAACTGCAATATTATATTGTGGCCTTTCTCTTGCATTTCAAAGATGATGGAACAAAAAAATAAATAGAAAACGCATATTTTTTTGTTTGTATTATCTTTTACCAGATCTATTGTGTTATATTCTCCTACATTAATTTCACATTAACACAAACGTCAGTGTTTCCTTTGAAATTGTATCAAGAGTATTCATATCCTTGCTACAGGCAGTTAGATTTGGGTATGTCATTTTAGACGAAAATTGAAAAAAAGGGTCTGATCCTTGAGGTTAACTTCCTTTTTTAGATGTGCCCCTCTTGAACACTGGAGGGCAGTGTGTCCAATGAAAACAAAGCCACCAAGAATAGAATGTACTCGGGTAAATTTGAAAATGCTTTATGTACAAGTCTCACACACATAGTTAAGGACTTTTCAACAATGTAAGATTTATACATTTTGTACATCACCTGACTAGAAACTTTCACTGACAATGCTAACAGAAGTGACGTGGACGGACGTTCAAGCTATTTAACACTTAAATGAGCCATCTGACAAATAACCAAACGTAACTTGCCAACAAGACAAATTAGAAAACATACACTGAATGTGCCTCAAGAACCTTTGATGTAGTTACGACAGCCAGAACATTTTCAGGTGTGTGTATTTTACAAGCACAATATTACTGTTTTATGGTACATATAATGGGAGTTATAAAATCACTACATTTTCCTACATACGGACTGGTCAATTGTAATGATTAAACTGAAGTAATTACGTGTCATGTTGTACAATATTTGTTTACATATAACTATAGCTCCACATTATGTGCCTGCAGGTGTTGGAGGAAGGACAACTGGGGGCTGGCTTTGACCAATCTTGCTTACATGAAAATCGAAGGGTTTATAGTCCCTGACATGAATATGTTAGTTTACCCCCAGTAGTAAGGCACAGTTACTAACACAACACTAGAGCTCCATTCTAAATGACAGGAGAAAAATAAATGTCCTACTGAATGTAATAATCCCATAAGAGGTCCTAATGGATTTTAACAAACTTATAGTAGGCCCTAACATTGTCCTCATTTAGAAATGACATCCAAATGTAACCACCATACATCAATTCAAACCCATAGCACTTGAAAGACATACTGAACATTACAAACAGCAATTAAGAGAAAGAAATTGTACTGCTGTTTTAGCATCAGAATCATGGACACAATCATCAGAAACTTGCTGGTGGTTGGTGAATTATCTCATTTATAATGATGATCCCAACAACCGGTAGCTCCTCTATGTCCCCTCCATCTTTACTGCATTGGAATTGATTAGCCATGATATTCATAGGGGAATAGGGGATATTTTGTGATGTAGACTTGTGTGTGGGGGGAGAGGAGATGCATCCCTAAATGGATGTCGGTGTGGTGGTTCACTACAGCATCTGATATCCACAAGGCGGCTTACTAGAGGCGTCCTTTTCAGTGACCAGCTTATTTGGTCCAGAAAAAGACAAAAATAACTTTGATCACTGCTAAGACTTTTTTTTTTATACCAAAGTCAACACCGCCCATGGGATGCATCTCCTCTCCCCCCCACACACAAGTCTACATCACAAAATATCCCCTATTCCCCTATGAATATCATGGCTAATCAATTCCAATGCAGTAAAGATGGAGGGGACATAGAGGAGCTACCTGTTGTTGGTACCATCATTATAAATGACATAATTCACCAACAACCAGAAAGTTTCTGATGATTGTGTCCATGATTCTGATGTTAAAACAGCACCACCATTTGATGTCTGCTGGCCAGTCCAGTTGTCAGCCAACCAGAAGTGATGAAGAAGAAGGGGAAAAGGGTGAGGTGTGAGGCTATTGGTACATGCAGGTACTGTGCTCTAAAGAGGAGCCCAAATTATACAGAGGATGGAGTAGGTTAGCCTGGTCCTAGATCTGTTTTGTCAATGTCAACTCTAAATGATCATTGTCAGAGCTGGCAAGACCGCACAAACAGATCTGGAACCAGGCTAGGGGTGGGGGTAACAGAAAGATCTGTTGCATATTGTGCTGTAGTAACTGGCCAGAGCGTTAACCATGTGTCAGCTGGTTTAACCATCTCCCTCGTCCTCTTTGTCCTTCTCTTCCTCGCTCGGTAAGTCCGGCAGTCGGAAACACTCCTCAAAGAAGTTGACCAGTGATTGGCTCAGGTGTTGCCGTCTGCCATCGCTATGCAGGAAGTGTCCCTCGTCTGGGTAGATCTACAGTACAGAGACATTAGAAAATAATGTAGGTAACACTATTTGGCACCCTGCTCATTACGCCTTCATGACAATGTCCTAAACATGTCGTAAAGCTGAACTGTCAAGCTTACCTGTAAAGAGTAATTTGCCTTCTCGTTGATTAAATGGTTGATGAATTTTGCAGAGTGCTGGAAATTGACTTTCTCTATAGGGAGGGAGAGCGGGTAACAGGATGTGTAAGATGTTTATATTCAGTCACAGTACTTCAACAACATTCAGCCTCAAAGTTCATAAATAAAAATTACTTTGACAGGCTAACGTATTGATAGTGTTTCAAATAATGACTGTACCATCAGCAGTTGGATGGATGATCATGTACTTCCTGTCCATGAGATTACCTGCCCGGTGTGCTAAACTTGCCATCTGAAGGAAAGAGAATGCCACCATGAAATACACAGCATCTTACACATTGACTGACTAGTGTAAATACAGTGTGTGAACTGTTGTGTCTTTACCGAGTATATTCGAGAGTCTGTCTTAGGTGATCCAAGGTATCTCTCTGAAAATGCTGAAGCTGGAGAATAAAGAAAGAACAAACACATATCATTTTATTTGGCACTGTTCAAATAACAATTTATAGTTTGTAAGGCTAAATTATTCATGCAGTAAGAAATTAAGTTGATAAAGAAAATCATCATGTTATACCGTATAACTCGAAATCTGTGATGGGTGAGACGGCGGCTCCACATTTAAGCATGGAGTCTTCAGAACTTAAAAGCATGGTGGCTAAATATCCTCCATAAACCTATGGACAGATATATCACAGTATCAAGTTTCCTGAACAAACAGTATAGAACCCACTCCTATTTGCATACCGCCCCAACAGATCCACAGATGATGCAATCTCTATTGCACTCCACACTGCCCTTTCCCACCTGGACAAGAGGAACACCTACGTGAGAATGCTATTCATTGACTACAGCTCAGCATTCAACACCATAGTGCCCTCAAAGCTCATCACTAAGCTAAGGATCCTGGGACTAAACACCTCCCTCTGCAACTGGATCCTGGACTTCCTGACGTGCCGCCCCCAAGTGGTAAGGGAAGGTAACAATACATCTGCCACACTGATCCTCAACACGTGCTCAGTCCCCTCCTGTACTCCCTGTTCACCCATGACTAAATGTAAATGTAAAATGACTGCATGGCCAGGCACGACTCCAACACCATCATTAAGTTTGCCGACGACACAACAGTGGTAGGCCTGATCACCGACAACGATGAGACAGCCTATAGGGAGGAGGTCAGAGACCTGGCCGTGTGGTGCCAGGATAACAACCTCTCCCTCAACGTGACCAAGACAAAGGAGATGATTGTGGATACAGGAAAAAAAAGAGGACTGAGCACGCCCCCATTCTCATCGACGGGGCTGTAGTGGAACAGGTTGAGAGCTTCAAGTTCCTTGGCGTCCACATCACCAACGAACTATCATGGTCCAAACACACCAAGACAGTCCTGAAGAGGGCACGACAAAGCCTATTCCCCCTCAGGAGACTGAAAAGATTTGGCATGGGTCCTCAGATCCTCAAAAAATTAAACAGCTGCACCATCGAGAGCATCCTCTGGTTGCATTACCGCCTGGGATGGCAACTGCTTGGCCTCCGACCGTAAGGCACTACAGAGGGTAGTGCGTACGGCCCAGTACATCACTGGGGCCAAGCTTCCTGCCATCCAGGACCTCTATACCAGGCGGTGTCAGAGGAAGGCCCTCAAAATTGTCAAAGACTCCAGCCACCCTAGTCATAGACTGTTCTCTCTGCTACCGCACGGCAAGCGGTACCGGAGTGCCAAGTCTAGGTCCAAAATACTTCTCAACAGCTTCTACCCCCAAGCCATAAGACTCCTGAACAGCTAATCATGGCTACCCAGACTATTTGCACTGCCCCCCCCCCCCACCCCCCCCACCCCATCTTTTTACGCTGCTGCTACTCTGTTAATTATTTATGCATAGTCACTTTAACTCTACCCACATGTACATATTACTTCAACTACCTCAACTAGCCGGTGCCCCCGCACATTGACTCTGCACCGGTACCCCCCTGTATATATAGCCTCCCTACTGTTATTTTATTTTACTTCTGCTCTTTTTTTCTCAACACTTTTTTGTTGTTTTATTCTACTTTTTTATAAAAAATAAATGCACTGTTGGTTAAGGGCTGTAAGTAAGCATTTCACTGTAATATCTGCACCTGTTGTATTCGGCGCATGTGGCCAATACAATTTGATTTGATTTGATTTGAAATACATTGACATATCAAGGCTAGAGACTTCAGATACACCACTCCAAAGTAAGTTTCTGCCCAAATTAAGTACTAACTGCATACACATTCAAACTTTATATGGACAAATAAGTGCCAAACTGAAACATTTATGTTGTCTGCGTTGTTTTTTATTTATTTAACGAGGCAAGTCAGTTAATTCTTATTTACAGTGACGGCCAAACCCGGACGACGCTGGGCCAATTGTGCGCCGCCCTATGGGACTCCCAATCACTGCCGGATTGTGATACATCCTGGATGCCTCTAGCGCTGAGATGCAGTGTCTTAAACCACTGCGCCACTCATTGCTGGACCGTAGTGTAGTAAGTGTACATCCCAAATTGTACACTATTCCTTTTATAGTGCATTACTTCTGGTCAAAAGTAGTCCACTACAATAGTGTGCCATTTTGGCATGTACCCTAGATATGAGAGGGTGAGATTCTGCTCTATGTTCCAGACAGAGTGAAAGCCCTAGTCCACTCTTAATGCCGTTTAGCAGACGCTTTTATGCAAATCGAACCCACTACCCCTGGCGTTACAAGCACCATGCTCTACCAACTGAGCTACAAAGGACCACTTTCTTCTGCTCAAATACAGTACTACAATTGACGAGAAGGGAAGTAAAGGGAACCCAATTACCTTTTTTTCACGTGGTTTGAATAAGTAGCTAGCTTGTTTTCTTCAAGCATTGATTCTCCTTACCTTTCCATATACTCCAATTCGACTTTTGTCGATGTACATTTCTTTGGATATCAGTCTGGAATAAAGAAGAAAAAAACAATCAATGCTTTGGTTGGAAGGTCAAAAGTAGGTATTACATTTCCAACAACCCAGTAACGTACTGAAATAAAAACATTATCATAATGTCATTAAACTGTATCTGCATATATACTGAACAAAAATATAAAATGCAATATGCAACCATTTCAAAGATTTTACTGAGTTATAGTTCATATAAGGAAATCAGGCCCTAACTTATGAATTTCACATGACTGGGCAGGGGCGCAGCCATGGGTGGGCCTTGGAGGGCATAGGCCCACCCACTTGGGAGCCAGGCCCAGCCAATCAGAATGGGTTTTTCCCCACAAAAGGGCTTTATTACAGACAGAAATAACCCCCCTCCCCTCAGACGATCCCGCAGGTGAAGAAGCCGGATAGGGAGATCCTGGGCTGCCGTGGTTACACGTGGCCTGCGGTTGTGAGGCCGGTTGGACATACTGCCAAATTTTCAAAAACGACGTTGCAGGCTTATGGTAGAGAAATTAACATTAAATTCTCTGGCAACAGCTCTGGTGGACATTTCTTCAGTCAGCATGCCAATTGCACACGCCCTCAAAACTTGAGACATCTGTGGCATTGTGTTGTGTGACAAAATGGCACATTTTAGAGTGGCCTTTTATTGTCCCCAGCACAAGGTGCACTTGTGTAATGATCATGCTGTTTAATGAGCATCTTGATATGCCACACCTGTCAGGTGGATGGATTATCTTGGCAAAGGAGAAATGCTCACTAACAGGGATGTAAACAAATTTGTGCACAAAATTTGAGAGAAATAGGCTAATTGTGCGTATGGCAAATTTCTGGGATCTTTTATTTCAGCTCATGAAACATTGGACCAACACTTTACATGTTGCGTTTATATTTCTGTTCAGTATAAATACTGTAAGACGTAGCATGGTATTAGCATATTATCATTATGTAGGACCAATTATTTGAACTCTCAAGAAAGAGTCTAATGTGTCCAGGTGTCTCTCTCACCTGAGGGCCTCCATCTGGTCCCTCTCCTCGATCACGCCCAGTTTCCTCCTGATGCGGTGGAGGAGGTTGGTGCCCTGGAACCCGGACCCATGGCCATCGAAGCGGATCACAATGGTGCTGTAACTGCTCACCAGCACCGTGGCCCAGTCCACACGGAACTGCTCTGTCACCATCTGTCCGCCAGGCGTTCCGTCCCTAAGGGAAACATATGACAGGCTGAACCATTGATCCCCTTATAGCTCTCTGTGACAGCGTCCAAAGTCATGAGTCCAATGTCAAAAGAGAATATGCTATAATTCTAATATAATCCCTACTGGAGTTGGTGTGAGTCATAGATATTATGTTTATATCTAGAGTAAATGTGTGTGTGGGTAGTTGCTGCCATACTTACACTAGTAGCAGTAGGGGGTAGTGAGCTGTGTCTATGAAACCAGCTGGCTTCAGGATCTGCATTGTCAGAGCTGCAAGAAACAAGACTGTGTAAATGACTGTGCATGTTGTTCTTCTTAAAGGCCCAGTGCAGTCAAAAATGTGATTTTCCTGTGTTTTATAAATATTTCCACACTGTGAGGTTGCGCGACAGGTGATATTCCACCCAAACTCTGTATGCCGTGGGCTCTCCAACCCTGTTCCTGCTGTTACCCACTGCTTATTTTGGGAAAACAAGTGAAATTTGTTCAACAAAACATATTTCATTAAACTGTTGACAGCCCCTTTCTCTACGAGCTCGAGAAAGAAATGAAGGAGAGAGGGGAGGAGATGGAAACGCAAGGTGGTGAGATATTCTGTAGCTAAAGGTAATGTCAGCCTATTAATTATATTATTTTTTAAATGCCCTATTACTGAGCTATTCAAAATAAAATACAAATTCACTATATTTGTAGGATAACTCTGAATTTGTTTAATTTTGGAGTATAAGCTAGACTAATTATGTATCAAATACATCTTAAATCAGTTCATTTTGTTTTTCTGCCGTGTTTAATATGCGGTACGCTACTGTAAGTATTGTATAATGGCACAATCATTATTTTTATTCTGTTTTTTGGGGGGCTCATACATAGGCCTAAGCATATGCATAAGCTTTAATATGCATATGAGGGTTTTGAATCAATCATCACCTTAGAAAACGCTGTCTATTTCATTGTGTTAGACTTTGAAACAACATCCACAAGGACCATGTTTTCACTCAGTTTCATACTGTTGTTGAACTTGTGAGGTGAGTTTTAAAAGCACATACTGTTTTGATGATAAATGTTTGATGTGATTTTCAAATGCATTTGCAATGATGCCAGAAGGGTTAGAGGGAAAAATCGACCCCTGAGTACCAGGCCATTAGCGACCTGATGATCGTTAGCGAGTTGGGTACTACCAACGTGTGTCCAGAGTGCATAAGAGGTGATTACCGTGACTCAACAGTCACGTGGAATTTTAATCGGTCCTCCCCTCCAGCTCCGTGGCTTGATGACTCATTGCGAGCTCACAGAACAGAGCTCCGGGCAGCGGAGCGGAAATGGAAGAAAACTAAACTCCCTGCCGACCTGGCATCTTTTCACTCCCTCCTCTCTACATTTTCTTCATCTGTTTCTGCTGCTAAGGCCACTTTCTACCACTCTAAATTCCAAGCATCTGCCTCTAACCCTAGGAAGCTCTTTGCCACATTCTCCTCCCTGCTGAATCGTGCGAAGAGCCTTGGCGTGACCCTGGACAACACCCTGTCGTTCTCCGCTAAAATCAAGGCGGTGACCCGATCCTGCAGGTTCATGCTCTACAACATTCGGAGAGTACGACCCTGCCTTACACAGGAAGCGGCACAGGTCCTAATCCAGGCACTTGTCATCTCCCGTCTGGATTACTGCAACTCGCTGTTGGCTGGGCTCCCTGCCTGTGCCATTAAACCCCTACAACTCATCCAGAATGCCACAGCCCGTCTGGTGTTCAACCTTCCCAAGTTCTCTCACGTCACCCCGCTCCTCCGCACACTCCACTGGCTTCCAGTTGAAGCTCGCATCTGTTACAAGACCATGGTGCTTGCCTATGGAGCTGTGAGGGGATCGGCACCTCTGTACCTTCAGGCTCTGATCAGTCCCTACATCCAAACGAGGGCATTGCGTTCATCCACCTCTGGCCTGCTGGCTCCCCTTCCTCAGCGGAAGCATAGTTCCCGCTCAGCCCAGTCAAAACTGTTCGCTGCTCTGGCACCCCAATGGTGGAACAAGCTCCCTCACGACGCCAGGACAGCGGAGTCACTCACCACCTTCCGGAGACATTTGAAACCCCACCTCTTTAAGGAATACCTGGGATAGGATAAAGTAATCCTTCTACCCCCCCCCCCCCTAAAAATAAATAAAAATAAAAATAAAAATATTGTAAAGTGGTTATCCCACTGCCTATAGGGTGAATGCACCTATTTGTAAGTCGCTCTGGATAAGAGCGTCTGCTAAATGACGTAAATGTAAATGTAAATGTGAAAATGATAATTCCCTTAGTGTAAGAGCTGTTTGAAAACACCACCTAAAATCTCAGTCTGTTTTGGTGGGATGGAGTTTTGGCCTGCCTGGACCAATAAGAAAGAGAGTTCTAAACCTCCGTGCCAATAACAGCTAGTTTTCAGTTTCCCCCTCCACACTCAGACCACTCCCAGACAATCCTAGCAAAATTCTTTTTTAAGAAATTGCTCTTTGCTAAGAAGCTATTTTTGTTTATTTTTGACCATTTTAATTGAAAACAATCACATTAATTTACTAATTGTTACCCAGAAATGATCTAATATTGAGATTTTAAAAAACGGCTGCATTGGACCTTTAAATTATCATATCAAATCATAACTAATGCCATTGTAACAGCATTTATGAAGACAATAACCCATATAATGTCATCATAAGAAATGCAACTGAAGCAGGCATTGGCTAGTAGTTTCTATGAATAGGTGCACCATGGAGGGATACCTACTGTAATCGTCTATGGTGATGGTCTCGTACTCCACTTTGGGCATCTGCATGTTGTGGTACGTGTTATTCACTCCCTCGTTAGTCTCCAGGTCCAGGACCTCTGCAGTGACATGGAAGAAACAAGCTTATGGTTCACTTACAGTACTGTCTGAGTGGCAGCTTCATGAAAAATCGAACACATTTCCCATTGAATGATGTGTGATATAAACACTATGCTGAATAAAATGCCCCTCAGCTTCAGTGCTCTTTATGGTACAGGCCAGGGTCAGGCCTCATAACGCTCACTCTGTTTGTCTTTGGTGCTGTAGATGGCAACACTGGGTACATCAGGGCCTGGATGGGGATACATGTGGAGAGGGAGAGAGAGAAAGGGGTGGAGGTTGTAGGTTATTATAGGAAGAAGCACTTTAAGGTGCAGATGAATGGCCTCAAATGGAAAAGCAAACAAAACATTTAAACCCTTTTTTCTGTAGCATTTCACTGTATTTAAAAATCAGAGCTCATTCAAAAATGCCTCTGTGTCATTCCACGAAGAGTACCTTTTGCGTCCCTTTGATATTTTAAGAAGAAATTGTGCCCCAATATTGCATTTTAAAAGCCTGTATATTAAATGAAATGCCCTTTAATAAAGACCACATGGAGAATTCCATAAATCAGATTTTTTTATATGAATGAAGACTTGCTAAAGTGCCAACATTCAGCCCCTGTGCACCCATTGTAGATAATTTTAACCCAATTAACCCCAACATTTCTCCAAGATTTCACCATCATTGTAAAGCCCTAGTTATTTTGTTACTTTGACAAAAAGTCATTTCTGAAGATTATTATTTATTTCATGTGATTAGTGATTCTTTTAAGTCTGTCCCTCATTTTAAGGTCAACCCTGTTACATGAACTGAACTCTTGTTTAAATATGTTTTTCAATAGTCAAATCATAGTGTAAGAGAAGATGAGCTGGTTCTACTCTTTTTGGCAATTTTCTGGTGTTTTGTGGTGGAAAACTGAGCGGGTCGAGCATAACACGTCAACCCTGTTACCCACAGATAGGCTAGAAATGTTTGAACGATTCATTTTTTTAATGAAGCTTCAATTGTCACTCCCTGTTGCACATAACAAGCTTCCATTCCCTCTGTCACAAGGGGATTTTTGGCTGATTTAAGATGAAATCGTCAACCCTGTTACGATCAACCCGGATACTTTATTTGGCACTTACTATAGTCATTTATATTTAACCTCTTGAGATGGAAAAACTAGTTTTTTATGAAGTTGAACATGTGCTCTTTATAACAGAATGTTAACATTAGGTGAAATCCAAGTTCTTTTTTTTCTTTTCTTTTGTCTTTACATTTCTCAAAAGGCACCGAATTGGTGGAATGAGCCCTCTGTTTCTCTAACCATCTTCAGTAATGCAAGTCTTGAAATAACCTCTCGCAGCCAGCCATGTGTCATTACTGAGAAGCCACTGTCTGTCTGTAGCACCTTGGGGAGCAGCTGAATGAATACCAGGCTGTTATTATTACTCCAGACAGTCAGTACAGACCAGGGCTGCTCTCCTCTCACAAGATCTAATTAATGAAAAATCGGTTGCCTTTTTTCCTCTCTTGAGCGGACCCTCTAAACAAATCAGCTGTCATGGCAACCGCACCGGTAGGCGAGATAAGGATGATGAGCGTTCTCAGAGGAAATGAGAACACAGACGTAAATAAGGCCATGGGCCCTGCTCTCATGTCATAGATAGACCCTGTCTGACACACAGGAAGCAGGGCAGGAAATAGGGCTTTATGCCAACTACTGTAGTTTGATACACAGCAGGAACACTTCAGGATACAGCCTAGCGATTCACATTTGGTCTGGTAAGGGGCTTGAGTTATGTCTGACTGGCAAGTAGAAACAGTGGTTAGTACCGACTGCTGTCACATTCAATACAACCTTTTGCCACAGCATTGAACACTAATTCAATTTCATATTTTGACTGAGTATGTTTAGTGTCAAATGTAGATTTTTAAATCTACATTTGACACTAAACACCCACTAAAACCCTGTCAGCATAGTCAAAGACTTCAATTTATTTATATATCACAAAAATATACTGATTCAGTCAAGTACAACATATGCTGCTTAGTGTTCAAGATTGAAGGTCAGGAGCACTCACCTTTACAGTTGAGCAGGAAGTACTGCATGTTGTGGCTGAAGGAGCCATCCACATAGCCACACTTGAACTCACACGACAGACAGCGACGGTTGAATGGGCCATTGGTGTCCGCACTGACATAGCATAGATAAAGAAAACCACGCTATTAGCATTATACGCTATTCAATTTTTTAAAAGACACCTACAGGGCCTCCTGATTGGCGCAGAGGTCTAAGGCACTGCATCGCAGTGTTGCGGCGTCACTACTGTGTCATTACCGTCCGTGACCGGGAGTCCCATAGGGCGGCACACAATTGGCCAAGTGTCGTCCGGGTTAGGGTTTGGCCGGGGGGGGGGCTTTACTTGGCTCATCGCGCTCTAGAGACACCTTGTGGTGGGCCGGGCACCTGCAGGCTGACTTCGCTCATCATTTGAACAGTGTTTCCTCCGACACATTGGTGCAGCTGGCTTCCGGGTTAAGCGAGCGGGTGTTAAGAAGCGTGGTTTAGCGGGTCATGTTTCAGAGGACGCATGACTCGACCTTTGCCTCTCCCGAGCCCATTGGGGAGTTGCAGCGATGAGAAAAGATCGTAATCACGAAAAAGGGGGTAAAAAATATTATAATAAAGGCACCTACATAGTGATCTCTCACAGAATAAACCATTAGAGAGCTAAATCCAGAAATAAAATTATACCTGTAGAGGTGTCGTCGTTTTGGATCATCCTCTGTGCTCAAAAAGTATCTGGAAAACATTGTGATGAAGATCAGTTTGGAGTTCAATTACTATTACCTGAACAAGACAAGGTAAGTCAAATATCCATGGTAATATTTGATCAACTATAAGTGATAGGAAATTATACGTTCATTTGGAAATCATAATGGTACTATTTGGTCATGTTACTGTAATGTATGGGTGGAGAAGCTTACATGAGCTGCCTGTCTTGGCTGTAGGCCAGTATCTGAGTGACGTCCCAGTCTCCTGATGTTAGGGACTGCAGAGTGTCTGTGCTGGTATTGGGCTGGAATGGAACAATACATCACATTGCATGACAACTCAGGAAAGAAGAGTTGGCTATATAACAGCTCATACAGTTTGAGACCAGGCTGGGCATACAGAGGCCAGGATTCAATCCAAGGTACATTATAGAGCAGCACATTGAACTTGACTTGCGCTGCGTTTACCATGAGTGTGTTCTCCGCAAAACATCGGGGCAAATGCTTTTAAAAGGCGCATTGTGGGCTGTCCAGTGCACTGCTCTATAACGCGGCTAGAGTTTTAGAGAAGAGAACAAACAGAGGTGTTTTACCTGGGAGGTGGACATGGAGATATGGAAGAACTTTCCCCTTCCACCCTGAGGAACAGCTCTGGTGAAGAAGAACTTGTATCCGTCATGGGAGAAGAGTGGCCCTTCGTTCTGCAACAGGAAGAGGAAGGAGTAGGTGAGTGTGAGTGAGCATGTATGAGACAGCTAAACTGTCCAACTGCACTTCTGTCCCTCCTACCCTCTCCCCTTGTAATTACTGTGTGTACTTCACTGGATAGTTATTTTTGTATGTGTGTTGTGTGTGATACATGTTATGCTTTTACTGTTCTTATCACTTACCTGTCTGTGTAGCCAGCCCTCACTTTCATCCTCATGTTTCTGGAAAAATAACATGGCGATTACAAAATGAATACTGCATGCACGTCTACAGTGCTTTTGTTCAAGTTACATACTACAGTAATTTATTTGAATGTTGAGGACAGAAAGTAAGGACAACTTGGCTAGTGACTGAGGAGGCAAGAAAGAGGTAGAGCTAATGTAAGAGAGGGTGACGGTGTGTGTGTGTGTGTGTGTCTGTGCATGTGTGTGTGTGCGTGTGTGTGTCTGTGCGTGCGTGCGTGCATGCGTGTGTGTGCGCATGTTTCACCTTGGTGCAGACTCCTGTGGTGGCCTCACACAGTGTCAGTATGGAGTTGTTCTGAGCTCTGTTCAGCCAGTTGACTGCCAGCTTGGTGCTGGTGGCCCACTTTACCATTGTGATGTAATATTCACTTCTAAAAGAAAAAATGGAATGTGTTACAACTTTCTTACTTACAACATTCTGTAGGATTTTTCCTGCAGGATTTCCTGAAAGTTGACAAGTTTGCATATCTACTATTCCCTATGGGATCATAAAGATGACCTTTAACCTTGTGTAACAGTGTCAGTCAGTCAGTGAGACCCTCACCCTATCCTGGGGTCGTCTGGTTTCTTTATCTCCACCGTGTGAACGGGGCCGTTCAGACTCACCACAGACAGATGTACAACAGGGTTGTTCTCCCCAGCCTGCAGGGGCAGAGACAGCTTATGCCAGAGATCATATAATTCTGTGGGTTATACAGTATCTATATTGACAATTTTTGTCTGCGTGAAATCGACTGTCAGATCCACACAACTCTGTATAAGAGTTGATCTCTTTTCTGTTCCGACCTGGGTTTGAACCAGGGACGTTCTGCACAACAACACTTCGTACTCTTTCAATACCACTAACCCAGAAAAGTCAAGGCAGTGTAGGGCAGAAAGGACAGAGAATATAGAATAGACTGTATCTAGGACCTACCTTAGGGTAGTGATACTCCAGCCCTGTTGGATTTGAGGCGCCAGTGAAGATGGGGACCTCCATCTTGGGCACCAGGGTGTCGTTGATGGTGGCGTAGGCCAGTCTGAGACCGTCTGGAGACCACCAATGGGCTATATGGGTCTGCAGGATCTCCTCTGTAACAACATACACGCCCATAAACAATTAACTACTGTATCACAAACACACTCTATAAAACATGGTGATAAATAATGTCCATTCATCATTCAAGACAATCTACAGTGCCCTCCGTAATTATTGGGACAGTGAAGCATTTTTTCTTCTTTTGACTCTATACTTCAATAGTTTGGATTTGAAATTTAACAATGACTATGAGGTTAAAGTGCAGACTGTCAGCTTTAATTTGAGGGTATTTTCATCCATATCGGGTGAACCATTTAGAAACTGCAGCACCTTTTGTACATAGTCCCCCCATTTTAGGGCACCAACAGTATTGGGAAAAATGTGTATTCAAGTAGTAAAACATTAAATATTTGGTTCCATATTCATAGCACGCAATGACTACATCAAGCTTGTGACTATACAAATTGGTTGGATGCATTTGCTGTTTGTTTTGGTTGTGTTTCAGATGATTATGTGCCCAATAGAAATGAATGGTAAAGATGTATTGTATCATTTTGGAGTCACTTTCATTGTAGATAATATGTTTCTAAACACTTCTACATGAATGTGGATGCTACCATGATTACAGATAATCCAGAATGAATCATGAATAATGATGAGTGAGAAGGTTACAGACGCACAAATATCATACCCCCCCCCCAAAAAAAAAAGCTAACCTTCCCTGTTATTGTAATGGGGAGAGGTTAGAATGTCTTGGGGGGTATGATATTTGTGCGTCTGTAACTTTCTCACTCATTACTATTTACAATTAATTCAGGATTCTCTGTAATCGTTGGTAGCATCCACATTCATGTAGAAGTGTTTAGAAACATATTCTATTCTTATTTACAATAAAAGTGACTCCATAATGACACAATACATTATTTACCATTTATTTCTATTGGGCACAAAATAATCTGAAACACAACCAAAACAAACAGCAAATGCATCCAACAAACGTGTAGAGTCACAAGCTTGATGTGCTATGAATATGGGACCAAATACTTAACTTTTTACTACTTTAATACACATACAAGTGAATTTGTCCCAATACTTTTGCCCCCTCCCTACACAACTGGGTCCTGGACTTTCTGACGGGTTGCCCCAGGTGGTGAAGGTAGGCAACATTACCTCCTCCACACTGAACCCTCCTGTACTCCCTGTATACCCACGACTGTGTGGCCTCACACAGTTCCAATCCTATCAAGTTTGCTGACAACACGACAGTTGTAGGCCTTTTTATACTGCTGCTACTCGCTGTTTATTATCTATGCATAGTCACTTTACCCCTACCTACATGTACAAATTACTTTGACTAACCTGTACCACCGCACATTGACTCGGTACCAGTACCCCCTGTATATAGCCTCATATTGTTATTTTAGTGTTACTTTTTATTTTATTTTTTACTTTAGTTTATTTAGTAAATATTTTCTTAACTCTATTTCTTGAACTGCATTGTTGGTTTTGTAAGTGGGCTTGTAAGAAAGAATTTCACGGTAAGGTCTACACCTGCTGTATGCGCATGTGATCATTTAAAATGGTCAAACCATACGGACACTGTGGTGAAGAAGGCACAACAGCGACTCTTCAACCTCAGAAGGCTGAAGAAATTCACCCTGTCCCCGAGGGCCCTTACAGTGTTCTATAGGAGCACCATCGAGAGCATACTGTCAGGCTGCATCACAGCCTGGTACGGTAACTCCACTGCCGCTGACTGCAAAGCTCTACAGAGGGTGGTATGCTCAGCCGATCGCACCATTGGGTGCACACTGCCTACCCTCTAGGACATGTACAACACAAGGTGTCGTAGGAAGGCCAAGAAGATCATCAAGGACCTCAGCCACCCGAGCCACGGCCTGTTCTCCCAGCTTCCATCACTCAACGGACATTTACCCTGCCCCACCACCCTCATTCACTTCTCTTTGACATGCAATGTTGGAGCTCGGAGCGTAAGAATTTCACTGTACCAAATGCATCTGCGACCCTGTGCATGTGACTAATACAATCTTCTATCTATCTATCTAAGGTTAAAAGATCGTTATTAGGTTAATAGTAAAGCTAATAGTCTGTTGTTTACTGCTACAATGTACATGTCATCATATCCCAAAGTAACTTCATTAGCTGTGTGTGCCGATAAAGGATATCTCATACATAACACTGTGTAAATATTTCTGATTTATGGCACCCAATTACTGTACTGTCACTGGAGGAGAGAGGTCCATTACTCATAGCTAAGTATGACATGTTGGAGGGTTAAAGACCGATACAGACAGATAGAATATCAGATTATGTTGTGGGTCAACATATGTCTTTATCATTCATCAGGTGTGAGAAGCGCATGTCAAAAGGTCATTTGAAAACAGAGCTTATGAAAAGGACAAGAGAAGTAATTACGTAAATGAATGGCGTTATGGACAAAGTAAAATACAATCCACATATGCCCACCAGATGGCAGCATAGACCTCATAGGAAGGCTTCCTATTAGAAAAATAGTACAAACAGGCAGCAGCCATTCCCTGAGACAAACACAATAATGACTGAACTCCAAAGACCTTGGCTGTGGGTTCTCTGATTCAGTTGACAGAAAATGAGGATGGTCTACGAAGGATGGTGAAGACCAGCATACAGAGATTGTGAGTGGGAGAGTGGTGTATGATGGGTATATTGGACATTGAACAAACATGTTGACTCATCGTTCCCTTCTCTAAGGATGAGATACGGATTATGAAATAACTAATTGAATGCTTTCAAGAACAGTGTTCAACATAATCTTCAGTACAGTATGACAGCATACATCCAACACATTCTTATTGCTGCATAGAAGAGACTGCTGTATAAAAGACCATATGTATGATGGGTCATAATGGGGTATGAATAGCAGGGTTGGGGTCAATTCTGAATTGCATTGCTAATTGCTCTTTAATTCCAATTAAATTGTTTAATTTGAACTGAATTTGAATTGGCCACACCCCACAGGAAGCAGAATTTGAATTGAATTTGAATTAAATATGGAATTCGCAGTAGGGGGGAATTGGCCACACCACCGCTGTTGTTATTGTTTTTGTTGGAGCAGCATGGTAAAAACCCCCACCAAAAAACAGTGTTCGTTGCATTGATAAGTGGCATATCCTTTAGATCAGGGGTGTCAAACGTCCGGCACGTGGGCCGGATTAGGCCCGCAAACGGGTTTTTAATCCGGCCCGCGAGATGATAAATTTTTTTTTTTTTTTTTTTTTTGTAAAGTATAAAAATGCACTGCAATTTTTCAATAAAATAAACTGCTGTTCCAATTGCGTCCACTGGATGGCGCAATAGCAATTGTGTTAAGCAATTTTTTATACCGGGGCAGAGCAAGTAGGTCAAGCACGTGCAGCCAATGAGCTACTTTGTTTTGCCCGCAATATTTATTACGGCTTCTACTTTTAACATTATGTGCTTTGGCACCCTCATTGCCCCAATATGTCTCTGTCAAAAAAGAGAAAAGTGGACGCAGAGTGCAGAGTGTTCCAAGAAAAATGGTCATCCTATTTATTCACGGAATTGAATGGGAAAGCTGTATGTTTGGTGTGTTCAGAGCATGTTGCAGTGCTGAAAGAATATAACCTTCGTCGCCACTATGTGAGTCTTCATGCCGACAAATATGACAACTTTCAAGGACAGCGGAGATGAGAGAAGGTGAATGAACTGTTGGCGGGTCTGAAGAAACAGCAGTCTGTGTTTACTCACAGCCGAGACATCAGTGACGCTGCAGTGAAAGCTAGCTACCTCATTGCTAATGAAATCGCAGTGGTTTCAAAACCATTTAGTGAGGGTGAATTTGTAAAAACATGCATGATGAAGGCAGCGGAGATTGTGTGCCCTGAAAAGCGGCAGGCTTTTGCAAATATCAGCCTGACAAGAAACACAGTTGCAGACAGGATTTCCGATCTTTCAGTGGATTTGGACAGCCAGTTGAAGCAAAAAGTAAAGTCATTTATTGCGTTTTCGGTTGCAATTGATGAAAGCACGGACATTACAGATGTTGCACAACTGGCCATTTTCATCCGCGGAGTTGATGACACATTGACCGTCACCGAGGAGTTCGTGGAGTTGGTGCCGATGACAGATACAACGACAGCAGCTGATATTTTTACCGCTCTCGTCGGCGCGCTGGACAGGGTCGGAGTGGACTGGTCCCGCGCTGTCAGCCTGGCTACAGATGGTGCGCCCTTAATGATTGGGAAAAAAGCAGGCGTTGTGACAAAGTTCAGAGAGAAAGTGCAATCTGCAAATGGAGGACGTGATTTTTTGACTTTTCACTGTATTTTGCACCAGGAGGCTTTGTTAATTTCATCCGATCCAGAAGCCTGAATCACCGTCAGTTTGACAGCCTTCTCAGAGAGAAAGACCACATCTATGGCCTGCCATACCACACTGAGGTAAGATGGTTAAGCCGAGGTGCTGTGCTGAGGCGTTTCTTTGATTTACGAGAAGAAATTGAACAGTTCATGGAAGAAAAGGGCAAACCAGTGTTAGAATTTCATTCCGCAGAATGGATGCAGGACCTTGCATTTATGGTGGATGTTACAGAGCACCTGAATAACTTGAACAAACAGCTGCAAGGGCGCAACAAAGTTGTCACGCAGTATTATGACAGCATACGTTCTTTCAAGTTGAAGCTGTCATTGTGGGAGACGCAACTTGCCGGTGGTGATGCAGCTCACTTCCCCTGTCTGAAAAATGTGTGCGCGACCCAACATGTGGCAGACATGAAGCAGTTCAAAGATAAAATAACGGGACTGTTACGGGAGTTTGAGCAACGCTTTCAGATTTATGTTTATATGTTTTTATGTTGATGTGCTATTGTTTTTAATTGATTTTATTTTATTTGTATATATTTAACCTATTCTTGACTCTGTGGTTCTTGCACTTGTTTGGGGAACAGGATTTCATTATTTTTATCTACATTTCTGCCTGAGAAATGACACCCTGATATAGTTCAGTGATCTGTGATATACTTCTGTGAATCACTGAGGCATTGTGTGTTTGTGTGT